TTCAAATCTGCCAAGTAGTTTTGGAGCCTATTCAATTCATACAAACAAACAAACAAACAAAAAATCAAACCTTTCCTCTTTATAATATTTGTATAGATTAATAAGTATTTTAAATCAAAATTGTATTGTGCTAGTAATTTATTAGTTAGTTTAAAACACAATGTTATACATAATACGATTCTATATAATATGCAACCTTACTTCTGCAACTATTTTACCTCCACATACCTAAAATTTAATTAAAGTATTGACTAAAGTGATTCATTTTGTGCATCATGTTATGACAAAGGCTCATAGCTTAAGTATTCGTTCCAGAACAAGGAAGAAATTGAAGCTAGACCTTAAATCAATAACATTTCTATATAGGATATAGCATTCATTAGATATGGGACGAATTGTTTATAGTAATATTAAATAAATAATTTATCCAACTAACACTAAGTTTGAACATTTATCCATTAAATAAATTATAGCTACCCCGGTTTTGTAATTGCTTAATCCTATAGTCAACAATATCTTTTCTTCTAAGAACTTGTGTAGCCGCCATTTTTATCGATCCTATTTCTCCTATCTCGCTGGCCAAGGAATAATCCGTATGTCTGATTGCTGACTAAACACTTGCACAATTATGGAACATTACACATAAGACAATTGTTCTGCACGAACGTTATCACTAGCACATCTTCATGACGTCTTCAGCACATCTATGTAGTTTCACTGTTTGCATCACTGAAGATGACAATGCTCCAGTATATTTCCTCATAACCTTGCCCCATAAGTTGAAGCTGGTCTGAGTCAATATCACGTCTTCTGCCAGATCCACTACGGTGCTCCAATGAACCCTCTTCTTGAAACAGCTTTAGATATCCATAAAGTGGCAGTCTTTACCTGTAAGAGACGTGTATTATTTATTATTTTCATGTATCGATAACCATGGATAATAAAATAAATAACGAACGGTCATTTTAAAAGAATACTTACGTTTAAGCCAGTTTCTCTCGAAATTTCAGTATAATTTAAGCTTTGATTATGCAATGCTATTATTTGGGCCCTCGTAGCCATATTAATATTTGAACGCAAACTCATGATAAAAATAAATATTAAAAACTTGTTAAACAAATTGTAACTGAACTCACTCAAAGATAGTAAAGAATGTTATGATTGAACAAAATGGTTTAATTTTTATACAGTTAATATTAAATTACCCTCAACTGTTTTGAGATTTATGATCGGGTTATAGTTGCTCAATAAGTTCAATATAATAAAGAGTAGGATAATTTCAATATATTTCAAGGTTACGCAATGGCCTAATGGCTAGTAGCATCGGTAAATTTTATGCTACCGAGTTCGAATCCTGGTTATTGCGTGCTTTGCTTTAAAAAGGTTTGGAATATCGTAGTATTAATTTGTGTAAAAAATTATTAAGTTAATAACTTTGTATCTGATAAAAACTATAAATGTATATTTTTCAATACCACTAGTATACTAGCGCCATCTATATCATCCATGGTATATTATTAAGGCGATGAAACGCCGTACAAACGATTTTGATTTGGAATCCTCCATGCACTTATGACACTGATAGTACATGTTTGCTTTTCGTTAGCACGCTGCAGTTCAGCAGTCTGATTGGCCTGGCCCATGTAAACCTACTAATCAAAGGGCTACACGCGGTTACGTTTCGATGGCGTTACGTTTAAACTTTCTTCACCGGCTGAGTCAGTTTTTGTTATGTAAAACTTAAACTCAATAAGAACTGTTTCTACGAATTAATTTGTAAATCTTGTCACATATTTTCCCGATGACTATGCTTGTGGGTTACCTAATTCTGTCAGATGTTAATCTCTTATGACGTCACATCCTTTGTAGTGCTGGATTAATAGTGTTCTAAGTTTGTATTACTTCATCATAATCATCATCATCATCCTGTTTCCTTTGACGGCCAGACTTTATATAGGGCTCCCTAAGCTGCTTAGCTCTTTTCATCCAACTGTTGTCACTATGGTTTGTATTGCTTGTGTTTAAGTTCAATTAACCTCCTGTCTGCCGGTATACGAAACACAATAGAAAAGACACTGTGTTCACTTATATCTGCACTCATCACACGTTTCGCAAAATATCACGTTTCATAGAATGAAATACCTGGGCCAGCACTACCTAGACACTGTATTTTACTTCATATTATTTCACAAACACATCACACCATAATTTATGGATCGCAAAATATTTTTCAATGCGTGAATTAAATTCTTTACACGTTGCACAACAGCCAGTTACCTAGACACTGCATCATCCGTGAACTCGTCATAATTCTACGCAAATTATTGCATACACTAGGTTTCCTTTAAAAATTACGTTTTTGGAAATCCTTCTTTTATTATTGCAGGGTTAAATAGAATATCATTCAGAGATGATCTTTTTTTTTTGAGGCGTTATATCATCAAATCGCTGCTTTCCCCCAAGTAGTAGTAAGTGTGAGTCTCTTACTGACTACAAACTCCTTTTTTTATCCTCATCGGGGCTGGTGCCGCAGTGTCTTATTGCGCTTGACCCGTAACCCTGGATTCATGTGTGGTATGTTAACTAAAGTTTTGAGATCACTTTTATGAGTTTTGTGCCATTTGTGGATGGGGAAACCCTGTTCTTATTTTATTTAACCCGTTATTAGGTAAACGAGAACAGGTTGAGCCGCTTTCTGCATTGGTCATCACACCATTATTCGTATAATCACAATGTGTTGGCGTTGAGTGTTATATAATTTTGTAATTGTACCTATAACCTACTTAATAGACTTGAATTTTATTGAAATAGGTACTTTCATATCGTTGACTTTCTTAGAACAGAAAATAGGGTACTACTAGCTACATTCAGGTATACATGTATATTTCAAAAATATTAACCATTTTCTATTTTTTTTTATCCATGCGTTCAAATGCAATACGCATTTGTACCTACTACAATAACTACTAACGTATAAAGTACATAGGTAGAGAAATCTAAAGTACTAACAGAAATGCCATTAGAAAAACAAGCAGGCAGCAGGCAAGTTATTCAAACAATTTATTTTTCTGTTCGGGAATTTAAATCACTGCACTTTAAACAACATCGGTGTTATTCTCAACTATCTAGGTATGTTTAGATTTTAGCACAAAATTAGCTTTCACACATGTACCTAAGCTTTGCAAGCGCCCATAGTGTGTGTTTTTGTTATTTTGATAAGTCCATGTGAGGATGTACCTGGTTTATGATCGTACTTTCTTCAACCATATTTACATACATATAAGGGTCAATTATTAAAATTGCTTTCTAAAGGTCAGTAAAGATATAAAGATACGAATGATATCATAAATACTTGCACAATAATTGTTTTGTAATTAATCGTAGTACACTTTCGCGGCCATTTTTGCCGAACCAGTGACCACTTATCAATTTTGGACACCGGGTATCGTTTGACAACAACTCAAGGTTGTTTTTCGGTCTTGGTACCGGTTTGAGAGGGCAAGACGAAGCAAAGAATAAAATATTGTTAGTGAACCGGATTTCGTAATGCAAGATTTATGTAAAATACCGCAGATTAGCCGACTGGATGATCTTTATTGGTGCTTTTTGTGTAAAAAATGATAATTATAAATAATTTAATACTACGTAGTATACATATAGGTATGCGTATGCGACCAAAGGAGTCTTCGATTTTTTTTAAATTTATTGTTATTTAATAAATTCATTTCTTTAATATCTTTAAGTGTGGGAGAGCCATGCTTTAGCACGAATAAGTCGGCTCGACCGGAGTGATACCACGGCCTCACAGAAAACCGGCGTGAAATAACCAAAGAGTTGTGTTTCGCCGTGTGAGTGAGGTTACCGGAGGCCCAATTCGTTCCCTTACCCAAAATCTCCAAATCCCTGATCCCCAAAAGTTCGACAACGTACTCGTAACTCCGCCGTCGTTGCGGGTGTCCATGGGCGACGCACGACGAATTATTAAATATTAATTATTCTTACTAATAATAAATTAAAGTGAAAAATGGGGAAGCAATTCTGTAAAACAGCATCTCCTTTTCGCCTTGGATATCGCTTAGCTCATGTTAACGCGGGAATGCCAGTGCCTTCCTAAAAATATTAAGTACATAACATATAAAGTGAAACGACTCCCACAACATTGAAACTAAATAAAAAGAAACCAATGTATTATTAAAACTAATTGATTTTTTCTTAAGTATCGCTACCCTGTCGATTTAAACGATGAATCCTATAACGAGACAAGGTAATTTAAATTATTGATTAAGTTATTCTTCCTTGAATCTCACTCAGACTGTTCTCTATTCAACAGAGTTGGTAAATATATTCTTGAATTGTGTGTACCGACAGCGATTTGAATAACGCATCACAAACTTATAAATGCAAATAAGAAAAATCTTGTTTAACATAGGTTTCGCATCCATACACAAGTTTATGGATGTCAAACTTATACAAAAAATAATGAGGTATCTAGGATTTAAATGAAAATAGTCTATTTTGGATCATAAACACTTAGATATACAAAGTGAAGCCATAATGGTTAAAAAACATTCATAACTGAGACGCTATCAACGCCTTTCTAGAAAAGACAGTCAATAGAAAATAGCATAAAATAAATAGAAAATAGATTATCAAACCTACGAACTACGCGCTACGAACTACGCCCTACGAACTACGAGCTACAAATTACGCACTACGAACTACGCACTGCGTAAAGTTAAGGCTAATTAGATTTAAAGAAGAGTTAGAAACTTGGCTCTTCATGATATCTTATATTTTTTGAGAGTACGATCAATATGGCGAGACCGTACAATCTTTACAACATTTTACATGAAATATTTTTGCGGGTCACAAAGACCCAGAGGTAAAAATTAACTAAACTTGGTATCTAAAACCATCTAGTTTAATCTATAATGTTCACTCCAGCGACATTCTATTAAAATAAATAACAATTAAAAACGACTTACATTTTCTATTTGCAGTGCGCAAGTCGACATGGGGAAGAGATTACTCGTTACTATTCATCGACAACCCTATAGGAGCCGGCTTCAGTTTCACGGATCATCCTGACGGGTTCATACAAGATATGGAGACGGTAAGGATATTTCATGAGACTTGGTATTTACTACTTATCATCCTTATCAGGTCATGACTGTAATGTATGTATACAAGTGAGGATATGTGTCGTCTGAACGCGCCTGTTAACCTGAGCGTTAAGGAACTTACCTAAGTAAAAATGTGTTATAAGGTTATTTTTATCATAAGGTATATACCACACCTACATAATCGTAAAAGTTATCGTTAAATGTCAATAAGTTGACCGTGAAACTATTTAAGTGTATGTAATGTGATTACGTTGCATGCACATTGATTATCTACAGGAAGTTGGACACATAAATAACAATAGTTTTTTATCTGGGTACTTCGAGTTTTTACTAAGAAACCAATGAAGCGTGTCTTTTATGTACCGAGTCGTTGACAGTCAAGTATATTCATACTTCAGTTAGTATTGTTTATTGAATGTAAGTACGTGAGCGCGATTGAATATAAGTACTTAATAAAATCTAGTTGAAAAACTCTGAAGGTGCGATGAAGGACTCTAAAAGTGAACATTTTAGCATTTATTTATTGAAGTGTGGGAGAGCCATGCTTCGGCACGAATGGGTCGGCTCGACCGGAGTGATACCACGGCCTCACAGAAAACCGGCGTGAAACAACCACAGCGTTGTGTTTCGCCGTGTGAGTGAGGTTACCGGAGGCCCAATCCTTCCCCTCCCCGATCCCTTAATCTCTAAAACACTTATCCCTAAGAGGTCGGCAACGCACTCGTTACTTCTCCGTTGCAGGTGTCCATGGGCGGTGCTGATTGTTTACCATCAGGTAATCCGACTGCTCGTTTGCCGGTCTATTAGACAAAAAAAAAACAAAAAAATTTTTAAGACAGGTTTTTTTCCTCTTGTAATCGAGTCCACAATTTTTTTTCCGCAACTGAATATCATTGCCTACGTTTTTCAAACACGAGATCTTCCCCAGGTCAGACAATCAACCATCCATCATCTCGCGTGTCGATCAACTAATCGTTCCTCTGAAACTCCTTCCTTGACATAGAGTAAAGTAATACCTAATACTAAAGTTACCTGACACCAAAAAGCTTAGCGCCCCCTTATTAATATTATACATCGCCAGGTTTATTATAAACCATAGAACGCCGTACAAGGACCTTTTTTATCGTTTTATAAAAAGAGCTTCTGTTATTTAACCTCAAAAACAAATAAGTCGCTCCTCAAACATTAAGTAAGGTCTATTACATTTATTAGTGAAGTGATTAGGCTTAAGTTATTCATATTTATTTTTGCTGTTAATGCTTATGAAGTTGTGGTCACTTTGAAGGACGTATTCTGTTATCAATTAGGTATGTGGGTGTGCCTTTGCGTAGCAGTTGACCGTAAGTGCCGTCAACAAAAAATCTACTGAGTTATTCAAGTTTATTGACTTGTCTTACAAGGAAAACATTGAATTTTTTTTCTTCCAAAGCAGTTTCCCTGTTGAATGTAGTTACTTTGAAGTGGTGTCAGGCAAGGTTACGGGGCAAGCGCAATACAGTACCGCGGCCTCGTCCCAGAGTAAGGAACAGGGAGCTTTCCTTCTCCTGCTCCTTTTAGCCAACGAGAATTTGATTCTGATACTGGATCTCACCTTACCCTAGGCGTGAGATGCCATTTGATGATTTTACACAAACTCACAAAAAAAGGTTGAGTGGTGTAAGCACTAGAAGTTCCACCTATCGGTTTGTTTAGCATTTATATTTTCGTTTCATTTAATTACGCTCAGAAAGTTTCGAGTTCACAGATAAAACAAAAATTACACTTACTCATAAAAATCAACTACAACAAATATTTTTTTTTTAAAACAATGATAATATTGAAACATGTATTTTTCACACATTTACTCATTATAGTTTTGTTTTCTAATTGAATTAATTTACACACAGGGCAATTCACACGTTTACGTCATTTTAAGAATACAATCTCGGATAGATAGACTATTGTAAGATTGATTGTATTTTGTATTGAAAACCTGAGAACAAAGGGTATTCAAAGTTTCCTAACTAGGTACTAGTCACAATAGTTTTGCTCTGTTGTTCTATATTCTATATATTATTAATATTATACAGAGGTAAACATTTTAAGTTTGTATTTAGGAGGGTAATCTTTGAAACTGCTGGTCGGATTACCAAAATTCTTTTACTGATAGATAGCTACAATATTCGTTTGACTATAAATGATTCTTAATTTGCGTATTTTGGTCGAGCTATCGCTTTGAACGCTGCTTTTTTTTTTAATACCGGGATTACTTTAGTACGGGCGGAAGCTAGTAAGTAAATAAATACAAAAAGCTACAAATATTAATAATACAAATAAATAAATAAGTAAATAAATAAATAAATATTTTTATCTAAGTATACATACTGCGAATTGTTTCCAATAATTAATATGAATGAATAAAAAACTTATTATTCTATACATACGAGTATGTGGTACATGGTATATTATAGTTAACACTAATCAGTATCAAGAATCTTATGATTTATACAGAAATATCTATATTTTCCTGCTGCTGTATCACGAATTCATGACAGAGATACGTATTAAGATAATATTGTCTTAAAAAAAACGTAAGGACCAATGTATGCGGGAAAATACCTTTATTAAAACCATTAAAAAGTGCAGGACAAAATATTGTGATTGAATAACCTTGGTGTTTGAATAACAAAGTGATTCAGCTTCAATGCTGGGATAACAAAGAATATATCATTTGATATCTATCTATTATATGTAGGCATATATGTAGTATACCCAAGGGCATCTGTGAATAGACTGTGGTCATTTACACTTAGGTATTACAATTACACAAAACATAATACTTGTTTTTTTCCCGTTTGTGCTGTTTGCACAAGCGTCCGAGATCGACTTTGCTAGCTGTATAGACATATTTGTTTAAAAGCCTGCACAGACGGGAACCTTTTTCGTTGCAAATGTTTTTAGCTGCTTTTTACTTTTGTGTTATCGAGGGAATTGTGATTTTCATCTCATCGAATAAGAGAGCGAAGACATGGAGGTAAAATTGAATCAATAGGCTAGTTTTGAACAACTCAAATTCAGTATCTTTTCCAGAAAGCCAAATAGGGTAGCTGGAGCATTTTTTAAAAGATTTGTTTAGAGATATTGTATTTGAAACGACATGATATTTTGCTTCAAATATTTTACTTATTACTTGATATTGATAAAAATATGTGATGAATTTTTTTCTATTTTTTTTTTTAGTTTTAGCCTAGGAAAGTAGGTTCTAAATTCAGACGGACAAATCGCGTCCCTCTTTATATGAAGTCATAACAAAACACGACTGTTATTTTCGAAAGAAACATACAGAAGTGTGTTTACAGTGTACTAACACACTTTACCAGTTCCTTGTTTTATTAGTCCTCTAGATAAAGAAGGTCAGTGAATGGCTAAAAATTCCGCATAAATTAAATCAATGTTTAAGGTAGGCTTAGTGTCATTTTGCGTTATGGGAGCTTTTTAAATCGAACGGTTGCAACTGATAGATATAGTCTAGACTTTTAAAGTGGGACAGCCAAGCTTCGGCACGAATGGGTCGGCCCGACCGGAGTGATACCACGGCCTCACAGAATACCGGTGTGAAACAACCACAGCGTTATTTTCGCCGTGGAGGCCCAATCTCTCCTCTTCCTACCTTACCTTCCCGATTTTTTATATCCCCAACCCCTATCCCCAAAAGGCCGGCAACGCACTCGTTACTCTTTTTGGGTTGCATGTGTCTCGTTTGCTTACTTATACCATAAAAAATAAAAATAAAAAAAAGACTAGACTGGTCTAGCATGTCTAGTCTAAGTAAATGTTTGCGGCTCTGAGCAAGACAAGGAACGGGGTGGTTTTATGTCAGTAAGAGTCTTACTCTACCTCTTGCTTCACTTGGAGTGGGAGAAGTCTGTCTGAGTTTAAATACGTAGTTTTTTGTAGTGAGATTGTGAGATTCCAACATTATGTGTTTAATCATTCGTCTCTCAATACAGTCAAGTTGTCACAATAAGATAAGGATACAAGGAAAACTTCATTACTTGTTAAGTAATAGAGTAATTAATTAATATTTCAGTGTTCAAGCCATTTATACAACGCGTTGAGACAGTTCCGGCACGTGTTTCCCGAGGTCGCCAAGGCTCCTTTCTACATTGCCGGGGAATCATACGCTGGGCGCTACCTTCCTGCTCTTGGCGTGAAGATTCTTGAACAAGACCGCAATATCGGTCTCCTGGATGTGAATCTACAGGTGAGGATTCTGGAATGAGGTACCGTAAAACGGTGTGAATAATATTTGAGCGGTGAATAGGAAGCGAAAGGAGAATTTTCCTAGTATTTATTCATCACTCTTCTGTGTCTATTCACCCCTCGAATTCTATTCTCCCCGTTTTACCTGACTTCGTGGTGAGCAAAAACGTAATATAAACGTTTAAGAAACCTAATGCTACTGTTTAATTAGTTTGCTAAACTAACAAGCCAGCTGTAGGAATATAGTTGTATCATATAATATATACCTCGCTACCAACAATAAATAAATAATAACATCTGATTAAATGCCAAAGTGACACTGTTGAATTACTCATACGTTTCAAAATTGCCCATTGAATGAAGGTTAAATACTCTGACACTACACTTCTATAAAAATCGGTCAAGTACGAATAAAACTTGTTTCGTATTCCGTACAACAGTACAGCGTACCTACGTAGGTAGTTACTATGAATATGAGGGATAATGCATATGCTCATAATAAAAAAATACTAGTCCGGTTACCCTCTTCCGACCGCTAGAAAAGGCGAAATGCGTTGGGACAATTATTGTAAAAAATGCTTCAAAATGTATGCAATGTGCATAGTTTGTTTTCCCAATCTTCGTATTATTTTTCTTGCCATTTCATATTTTTGGGTTAGGGTGGACTTATATAATAAGCTACATAGGCTAACTTTTAAATTATCCGTAAAGATCCCTAAAATCGGACACGTAAGTACAAGAAAATCCGACTTCTTTAATAAGCCAATTGATACAAATAAATGTCACAAAGTGATAAATGTCAGAACTAATGGACGAGGTAATATTAACAATTAGATGGCGCCCATGCCCGCGACTCATACTTGATTGTAATATAGTACTGACATACAACAAATCTACGTCAATTTGTTGATACTTGCCCAAGTACTAGATTATTTAATTTTACTGTCTAGACAAAGGATGTTTGGCTAACTGGACACCAGTATTTTTTTTAAGTATGGTGTAGAAAATACCCACATTTTACAACTCTATAACTAAGCTGGGTGTTACTACATTTATGCCGAAGATAAGTGAGAGTGCCGCGTGACGCTAGTGAGACAAGTCAGTCGGGTATAAATCACTCGTCTTCGTGATCTTTGAATATGCTAAGAAGCTGTTCAGTTCATAATAATGCTATCCACATAAAATATTTTCATGCGAAATGATAACGAGACGACTACTATGTAGCTCGCTTAGTCAAAAATTAATCACATTGTATTTAGGTCAAGTTTCTAACGCAACATTTCTAAGGCATAAACCCAGCGATCAAATACTATACCCGTATTATTTTGTAGCGCGTAGTTTGTAGCGCGTAGTTCGTAGGGCGTAGTCCGTAGCGCGTAGCAGCGTTTTCGCTATCGTAAGCAAGCAAACCACGAATTAAACTGGCAAGTCGACTGCACGGAAAATATTTTTAAACTCTCCCTTATCTAAGTCGTGGCCTAGCCATTTTCTTGTTAAAAACTATTGTATAAATAACAGAATTGTAATAAACAAGCGCGTTATACAAATAGCAGTTTAGATCCGCGTTTTGTTTGACTCCAAGGTGAAAAATTCTCATGAGCCACTTAAGCCTTTAAAGAGCTATTGACGTAGTTTGTTAATTACTAACCCATAATATTATTTATTAAAACGTTTTATTTTAATTTTAATACATCTATTTTATGTCGACCATGATTTTATGAATCTAATAATGCGCAGCTAATGTATATCAGTAAAATCTAAATAAATAAATGTGGGTTTTGCGGTTTCTCCCTGAAGCGTATTTTTTTGAGTAGTGTTAATATTTAGAAAGCAGATACCACTCTGCGGTTTTGTGGTTGATAAGTACTTAGATAGGTACTCACTTTATTCATTGTTATGATTATTATTGTTTCAAGGCCGTTTATCGCTTAATTTTCAATTAATTCGCCAGATCTCAAGCGAACGCCGGCGTACCTATTGTACTTCTATTATGTCTCAAAATACCACGATAGAAAGGTGAATGTCATCCATAAAGTCCCAACGCAAAATTAACGTCAAGTTCCGCCAGAACCTATAATTAGTGTTGAGATTAATTTGATAGGTACTTTAAGTTTGCTGTCCTATCCCATTAAAATATATCACTTCGGTATTAAGCGACAGCTTGCTAGGCAAATAAGCGACAGCTTGCTAGGCAAATAAGCGGAAAACTTGGGAAGTTGTTTTGTTAGGACGGAATGTTATCCGGACAAATAAAGACAACGTCAATATATGTTAAGAATATCGGAAGTCAGAACACAATTATTATTAATACAGGAAACATTTTTGTATAAAATATTATTTTTATAATAAGTAATATATATATATTTAATTTATTCGGAAGTACTAATAAGGGCTATTCTGCGATCCGGAAACGCCTTTTCATAACAAATCGATAGAACCTTCGTCACACATGTCCGTAAAACAACTTGAGTGTAAGAAAAAACAACTTTAACCGAAACAAAATAAGTTCGGAATTAATATAAAATTATTATCAGTAATCATATCGGAACTGCGGATATAAGTTTATTTAAAACATAGTTAATATTTATGTGTAAAAACTGGTTCAATGTTCGTCATTCGAATAAAATTTGCTGTTAAAATGTTTTGATTGCCTTCATCAATTTCAATATAAAAACACATCGTTATTGGGGTATTTTTGCTCATGGCGTATGGCGTAACTGTATCAATTTTGTGACGTCATTGTTGGATTGGGTAAACATCACATAGATATTAAAATTAGACCATCTTTAACCGACTCCTAAAAGGAGGAAGTTCACTGAAGATCCTAAAAGAAAGATTTTTGGTTAGTACGATAGTTTCCATCTATCCAAATTCAATACTTCTATTGTAAACTCAAAAACTATATTTTATAGCATATTTTTTATATTTTTCTAGCATATTTACATTTTTTTAAGCATTTTCATTTATATTTCTCTACCATATTTTCTAATAAATATGCTAAAAAAACATGAAACTATAAATTGCATTTTGATTTATATTAAACTGTATTAAAAAGTCGAAATAATTTATTTTATGACCTCTGAAGCTTCCCAATACTGCAATGTATTTTATTTTAAGTAAGCATCTTAGCTTTTGTCCAAAATTCTAAATTATGTTTTATAAAACTTATATGTCTTAAGAATTCGTCATTTAAGTACCTACCCATGGCTTTTCTGTAAATCTATAAGTATTCTAATAGGTCAATATACTTTTTGTTAACCCATTATTTCTTCTTAATTCCAGGGTATAATAATGGGCAACCCAGTACTGAGTCGGGACAGCATAGCGGACTACAGCTCTATCTTCTACCAGTGGGGTTTGATAGACAGTCAAGGACTCCTGGCTGTCAAACCGCTACAGGACGAGTACAACAAAGCGGTTGTCAGGGGAGAAGCCCAAAAAGCTACTGATGTACGTATTACTGCAACTGTTATTTTTATTAATAACTAGCTCTTACCCGCGGCGTCGCTCCCGTCATTTGAGTACCTACCCTACTTTACCTACCTAACCTACCCTACTTACCCTACTCTACCTACCTAACTCTACCTACCCTACACTACCTACCCTACACTACCTACCCTACACTACCTATCCTACACTACCTACCCTACTCTACCTACCCTACTCTACCTACCCTACCCTACCTACCCTACTCTACCTACCCTACTCTTCCTAACCTACACTACCTACTCTATCCTATCCTATGTCCTTCTCCGGGCTCTAAACTACCTCCCTGCCAATTTTCAGCTAAATGGTTCAGCCGTTTTTGAGTTATAAGTGGAGAAACTAACACGACTTTCTTTTATATATATATATAGATTACTAGTTTCCCATGAGTGCAATGCTATTTTTTTTACTTATTATTCTTACTTAATGGATGTTATTATGCATAGAAACCTAACTCTTCAAACACTTTATCTATCGAAAATATCCGCATCAAAAATCGTTACGTAGTTTAAACGACTTTGTTTTACTTTCTGTAGTGATAGTGATGTGGTGATGTGGGATGCGTTCTATGTTCGCATTTTGTTTTGAAAATAGAATCTTTAATATAATTTTGGCCAGTCACCATCAATTTTGAATTTACGTTTAGATTGCTAAGTTTTTAGTTCCGGGGCTCAAGGATCCATCTGACGAAAGGTTGTTTTAGGTAAAAATGTTCATTAATAATAAGAAAATAAAAAAGTACTTAAAGTACCACTAATATCTTCGACCTTATTTGACGATTTGACATGATACCAGATCTTCCGCTACTTATAAAAAGGTGGCTATCTAAAAATGTGGCAAAACTTAATCTTATGACCACACATCGATTGAAAAAAGTACGCAGTTATATTATTAATTTTAATCTCATTTACAGCTTCGAGAAGAGCTTCTGAACAAGTTAGATGACATATCTATGCAGCAGCAAACCTTTAACATCCTCGTGGACAGCATCAACCACCTGGATGACTTTGTGGAGTTCATTCGGAGACCTGAAGTGAGCGAGGCCTTGCATGTCGGCACCATACAGTTTGCATTCCACAATGGAACAACGCATAAGAGGCTAACACCTGATTTCTTGAGCGAAGTCAGGTCAAAGGTGGAGATGCTACTTAATCATTACAGGATACTTATTTATTGGTAAGTGGTTTTTAGAACATATTATCTTTATATTTCCTTGCAGACATTGGTGTCCCCTTGAGTAATAATTCTCAGTCCAATTTTTGAATTTTGTATTACCTAAATCTCTGCAAGTTTCTATTCTCGGTCATGTAGGTATCTTGTTTAACTAGGTACCTCGATTATAATTAGGTAGCTACCGAGGTCAACAATAAATTTAATTCAAAGTTAAAAATATCTACTTACTTATACTTTTATTCATTGATCTGTCGATACACAAAATTTTCAATAGTTTTTAGCTAATTAACTTACAATCTTTTTTTTTCCAGTGGTCAGATGGACTTGACAGCTCCTTGTGTGCCTAACGCCAAAGCGCGGAGGAAGCACTGGCATTGGAACAAACGCAATGAGTTCCTGAACGCGTCGCGCACCCCTTGGTGGTTCGATGAGAGAGTTGCTGGGTAAGCTATCTCTTACTTAAGTAAGGGCTGATTTTGCAATAGTCAGATTAATGTTATCTGAGGAATAAAATTGTTGCTGTAACTTTCTTATACAAACATTCTAACGCGAAAGCATCATAATTATTCCCCAGATAACTTTCATCTAACCATTGAAAAATCACGTCTTATATTTCCTTTTTTATGTGATAAGCGACCAACGAGACGAGCGATCTAGTTCCCCGATTATAGGCAATTGGCGCTGCTTTTGGATTCCCTTCACACCAGAGAAGTTAGGACTGCAGATTCGGATGCCTTTTGGGGATTAGGGCTTCGTAGATTAAGGAATTGGGGAGGGGAGGTAACTCTGGTAATCCCACTCACACGACGAAACACAACGCTGTAATTGTTTTACCCCTGTTTTATATCAATTTAATAATAATACTATAATACTCTATTTCCAGCTACGTCAAGAGCGGGGGCAGTCTCACCGAGGTGTTAGTGCGCGGGGCTGGTCATTTGGTCCCCATGGACAAACCAGCAGAAACCGCACAACTGATCTCCTACTTCATCAGAGGTCTAGAACTGCCCCTACCTCCGAACTACCACGTTGTTCCTCAAGACACCGCAGCGTACATCGATGATGACCTTGAAGGCATTTCGAAGACCATATTACAAATACCTGGGGATCCTCCCTCTGGTACTCAAGCTGTGATGGTAGTCAGTTTAGTTCTAAATGTCCTTTTAATCCTTGCTATCGTCTGTGGAGCCGTTTATGGGTTAAGATGGAAAAGACGAACGGACGCGTACAATTACAAAACTGTTGACGAGACCAGTATTACTACTTCTACTATGTTTTAAGCAGGTTGTCATGAGATTAAGACAGGAATTGTCATATGGTTGTGTCAATTTTGGATGTTGGTAAATGCTCGATTCCTATAATTAGTTGTTAGAAGTTGTTTTGGTAATTTAATCATCATCATCATTATTATCATAATTGTATTAGTCACAAGACGTCCACTGCTGAACAAAGGTCTCCCCAGAGCTCAACCTAAAAGCGGAGAAACGACGGACGATGGGACAATAAGTTTCCATTAGCACAATGTTCATAATGTGTTCTTGAATGAAATCGAGTCATTAATTGTTAGATCTCAGCATTAATTGGATCTCTGTATCATAATGGCAGATCTTTTATTTATAGACACACGATACAAAGTACTCACACAATTATCAATTTGCCTAATGTTTCACCAATTTTCGTATTCTTTTTTGATTTGCATAATAAAAACTCGTTTTAGACGAAAAATGAAAATGAAAATGAAGAAGGAAAAGTCTGAAATTGAGAGAATTGAAATTGTTATTTTCAATAGACATGAAAAACGGTAATAAACTTTTTATATGACAATCGGTAATGTAATGAGATTATGTGTAAGTGTTGGTTGATATATTTATGTTATTTTTGTAGGAATATTAGTTTGAAATTTTACAACTTATGAATTATGACGTGAAAAACGTCACACATACGTAATGAAAGTTATGAAGAAGATGAAGCTGGGTATAAAATATAATAAATATATTTGGTGTCATTTAATTAGTAAAATACAGTTTCATTTATCAAAAATAACGACTAACTTACTACGTCTGACGTACATATAGCTCATAAGAGTCTGTTTGCGGATTAAAACTACTATTAGTTTGACTTGACTTGACTAACATCCGGTTTCCGAAATGCCGATCAATGTTAAAATCAATTTAATCTCTTGTCAAGAGATTTACCAGTAGATTAGTTAATTTTAGCGTTGACAAGCCTTTTAGAAACCGGGTGTTAATCACGTGAATTAACCAAAAGATCTCTATAGCTCTTTGGTTAATTCATCGATCAATGTTAAAATAAATTTAATCTCTTGTCAAGTCATCTGATTGGTTGACTGAATTATCAACAACCAATCAGATGACTTGAAAAGAGATTTGACACCTAGTTAGTTGATTTTAACATTGACCGGGCTTTCGGAAATCGGGCATAAGTCGTTATTTTCATAGTTTACTACCTGTACGCAAAAGGAAAGCTTAGCTCGTGATGGTATTCATAATAGTCAAGTTTTTCTATTTATTTGTTACAAATGCTGTTGTGGTAAAAAGAGAAATGAATGATAGGTAATGTAAAGAACGTAACTTTCTTCGGGAAAGTTGCTCGTCTTCATTGGTACTATCATTTGCTAAGCTATTCTTTACCTACTAATTAAATGCCACCATATATAAAAGTAGAAAAACTCAGCCAAAACAAGAACTAGCTATAATACCCACAGTGCCTTTTAGTTGTAAAACAAACTGTTGTAAATATCACATGATTTAATTAATATTAAAATAGGTTACTTAGACATAGAAAATAAAATTATTTTGTATATAAACTATTTTTTGAATTCCTCTATAAAGCTGTCTATGATGAACTTGGCGACCTCTGGCTGGTCCGTCGGCACCATATGTCCAGCTCCTCTAATTAATACATCGACGAAATTCCCACCAGCTTTCTTGTACCTGAGTAAGTAAATTAAGATTAGGTCTGTATTGTTTCGCTTATGAGTACCTATAGTCAGAATTTTAATTCGATTCCTGATTTGACATGACCTACTGTCATTTTGTGAAATAATGATACCACATATAACAGTGTAGTGATGAACACAAAAATCGATAAACAATCAGTGAATCAGTTTCAGGAAGGCATTCAAAAAATTACGGCTACCGAATGGTCTAAATGCGTATGCCATGTTGTCAAAGAAGAGGAAAAAATGAGTAAGCTAGATATGTTAATTGACAATAAAAATCACAGACACAATTCACAATAAATGTTACAGAGAGAAACAGCCAAAGCGATAGCGATGACGGCAACAATTTAAAAAATTTCGGTTTTATTTGTTGTTCCTTCATGATCACATTTTTTATTAATTTCACACACAATTACAAAAGAAAAGTCTCAGAACGTTAATTAATTGTCAAAACTAAATTATCGGTTCAGAAATTTTTATTTCCTGATAATCTTAGTTTACGAGAGTAAATTTATAAACGAAAGGAATCGATTCAGAAATATTCGATTTCCACATCGAATAATTTCGCAACGTCACTATTTATTATGTGTCATAACGTTGCAACACTGAAATTGTCAAATCTGGAATGGAATTAAAATTCCGAGTATATATTTTAGAATTGACAGAAATGTTATGTTACAAGGTCATACCTTGTAGAAGAGAAGCCGATTGTCTTGAACTTACTACAACTTGAAAAGAGTTTTCCTTCGAACCATAGATATTCATTTTTTCCAGCATATTGAATGCTTTTTCTTTATTTGAAACTTCAATTAAATTTAGATTTTGAGCTAGCCGAGGCGGTATACTGAATAATGAAGTACTAGGTTTGAAACAATACTTACCCGACAACGGATCCATTAACGTACTTGCGCAGGCGCCGCCTGGGGGATTGGAAGTAGGACTCACGTCGGGACCATTTCAGCGTATCGTACATGTGTTTCGATAAACTGTACCCTAGAATCATGTCTAGTTGCCCGCTGTAATTAAAACATGATGTCTGTAAGTGTGTGTGTCTTTAATTAGATTTTTTGTGACTTGGTCTTTTTAACGAGAGATTCTGTCTGCCCTCATTTGGGACAAGCCCGCCGCAACCTCCCAAAACCGTTGCAACTCCTGTAAACCAGGATCTACTGTTGATACAACCATGAAACCACCGGAACACTGAAGTCCAGTACGTCCCAGGCACATGAATAACTGTCTTGGATCCCGCAACGAAATAATTCAGATTTTATTGGAGGAGAAGAGAAAAAACTGGTATCATTTACTTAAACTGGTACTGGTGGTTGAGTCGTAAATTCAGAACATGTATTGTTCCTGAATTGTCAAAAAATAGAGTTCAATTAATTATAATAAATTCCAAGTTACCAAAGCTAAGACAGCTATAAGCTATAAAAAATTAAGATACATTTTTCATTAACTTACTTATAGGCCAGAACTCCATAATGTTCCAATAGTTCTTCAATGAAAGGCTTGGTAGTGTTTGCGAAGTCTGGCAACATCTTCTGATAAACCAGTTGATTGTTCAGTATGAAGGTGGCGTTGCCCACGTGTATCAGTTCTTTAACGTCAGTCCTGTTGAGGAACTCTTCAAAGTCTGGTGCCCCTGATGAAGGTTCCTCCATGAAGTTGTAAACACTGATGCCGGTCTGTTTCTTTATGTATTCTATCGTTTCATTGAATGTCTGCAAGATGAAGTTAAGGGTAAGAAAATACTGTAGATTTTTCTTTGTTTACCAGTACATGTCTTATCTTGAAGACTGCATGGTTTACGCAAGACTGGATGGCTGTGTAACTGGCTACCGTAAAACGTGTTACGGTTTCAATTCGCGCACGGAACAACTCCAACTCTTGTATGATTGTTGTTCCGGGTCTGAGTGTGATGTGTAAGGGAAATTGTATGTCTGTAAACGGACCCACGACACAGGATAAAAACAAAGCAACTTGGTAAGGCAACTTTCAAACAGATTTGACCAGTGTTATATATAAAGAGAGTAAACATTGGAATGATTTTCTATCCCTTTCTCTTCAAAGGACTATTTAATGTGAATGTAAAAATTCAATTAAGTAAGTACTTACGAGTTTTTTGTAATGTTTTAATTAAATGCAGGAATATACAAGAATATTTATTCAAATACTGATAAAGTATTAGAGACCGCTTAGTATAAGACTAATGAAAATATCTTACGTTAGCAGCATCGATCATCTTCTTGGCGTCAATGAGTTGGATGACCTTTTTCTCTAGCATCTCCACCTGTTCGATCTGAGGACCCTCGAGCACGCCCAGCACACTGCACATGGTGCTGTAGTGCATCATCTGTCGGAGTTCAACCAGACCATTGCCGATTGCGATACCCTGGAATATTTCGAAACGTTGAACTAATATAAACAAGCACTTTTTGGAACTAATCGGCTTGGCTGAGCAGTCGGCGCAGAGCGATGTTGCTATGCAATGTTGGCATGGAATAAAACTTTGTGTTGCTACAAGTCCAGCGTTGTCTTTCGCTGAGTGAATAGTGCAGTTATAGGTAGTTACATGATTAGGTGACGGTGACAAATTGCTCAAAACCATCTCCATAAGGCGGGCAACGCACTTTCAACGAGTCTACGGGCGCCGATTGTTTACCATCAAGTTAAATCACTTAAGAAAACGGGTTGATTCACTTTAATCATTAATTTAACAGAATCAAACATCGACAAATCCAAAACTTTTACTATTCGTGCGAACTGGAAACATCACACAAAACAAGCAGCGTGAAATGTATTTATTCAAATTAGATGCGGCAATTTCCGCTAATACACACCTTCAAATTGATATGGTTACTGGGGTTGTTCTTATTATGTCTATGGATCTGGATGCCGAGAGCTGGCACATATTTCCCCGCGTAAGATTCTCCGACCACGAACAGAGGAGCTGATCTTATCTCTGGAAACATCATTAGGAATTGCTCCAAGAACACCAACATTTGTTCTCCGACCTGTAATAAAATGTCTATTAAGTAAATAGAAAATAGAAACTTAGCTGCTTAAAAAGTTGTGACAAATATAGAGTTAGCACAATATACAAAATTTGTTGTGACTCCTAACCCGAGTGGGGTTAGAAGTTAAAACATCGTGAGTAAAAGACAGAGTGAAAAATTAGAAGTCCGTATGGACTTAATTGTATAAGTTTGAAACGTGATTATAAGTTTGAAATCGCCAATCTGCCTCGAGCAAGCGTGGCTAGCGGCCTTTGCTCAGCAGTATCTAGCTTAAAGGCTGATGATGTATGTGTGGTTTTGTGTCTTGTACTTTGTGAATAATAAAAAATACGATTGTAGTCTGGCTGAGAAGCACCCGACCCGAAAACAACAAAATTTTATAAAATATAAATAGTGGGATCATAACTTTCTTGCATAAGTAGTTCGAAATTCAATTAAGCGTGTAAGGTCACTGCACCTTAACCTTTACACGGCGCACTCGAGTAAAATTATATTTTTATTTGCATACATACGATGCTCGTTAACTGGTTTATTTGCATTTCCATTTGTCGATAAACATTTTGATGACCTTACATCGATAAAATATTATTTGCTTAGAATTGATTATCTTAATGCTACGTTTCACACTTAGGATGCATTAACCTGTTCCTAAACTATTTGCTATAACGACACTAAACATAGATTATAAACTATTTTGTAAAAACAAAATGATACAAATATGAGGAGAAGAAATGCTTGGTTCGTGGCACGTTCATTTTTGAATTTACTTAAAGCAAAATTGTTTTTTCTGTGATAGGTATTTATAAACAGTGATTAGATAAAGGATAAAGGAACAGTGAGAAGCTAATACACCTAGATGCCTATTTACGAGTATTTCAAACGTAACGGAACTCGATTTACAAGCAATGCTGTTCCTACAATTGGTGAGTGTTTGCAGCCTGAGTGCGAATAAATATGTGATATTAATGATCTCCATAATATTCTAGTTATTGTTTAGTTAGTAATTTAAATACAATTAAATTATTTTAAGATATTTAAACAGAGCTTACTCTGTCCTGTTACCCTATTTTGCTGTGCCCCACAGGGTCCATTATTGATCTCACAATTGTTACTACCTTTATATGTACTTGTGATAAAGTAATTTAAAATTAATTACAAACTAATTGAGTATTGAGTAGGTACTGAATTTTTTTACAAACCATACATTACTGAGTTAAGCCCTCTGATTGGTCGGTGCGGGCCAATCAGAGTGTCGAACGTCATAAACATGGCGATCGCCTTAACGTAAAGAAAATTTACACTAGCCACTACTTACATCATCCTCGTTATCTGTGTATCCGTCGTCGTCATCGGTAAAGCTGAAGCCAGCACCGACCGGGTTGTCAAGGAACAGCAGGGAATGGTCAGACCAGGATATATTCCTTCGAACCGCTGAAATTGATTATAACATCCTTATACATTATTTATAATTATACAAACTTGATTTTAATCTACTTAAGTTTTCAAAGACAGGCGAAAGCAAGCAAGCAAAAAGCGAAAATCAGTCTCCATGCAAATTTTTTCCATGGAGACTGATTTTCGGTAAAATAAAAGGTTAGGTATTATTTGTGTGTTTCGATACAGTTTTCAATTTATGCTTTTTAAATCGCAAACATAATATGGATTTATTATTAGATTTGGAAAACAAGCTCACGGTCGTTTCAATACAGTTACGATTGTGAACCTGTAAATTGTAATTAGGTATGTGGCTATCAGATATAAAGGATAGGAGGAATAATAAAGCGCACAACTACACTTTGATTTCTGTGACGTGTGTTGAGTTTAGATGATGTTGTTCATCTGGTGGCAGTTTGTGACAGATTTCACCCTGTTAGAGATTATACGTTAAGCACCGTTTAAATGAACATGATGTTGGTATTTTCAATAACATATTGTCGTCACCTTATTCTGAAGTCGGCCTAGATTTATTTAGATTAGTTAAATAGTGTTTTGTTAAGTAAATAAAAAAGGCTTAGATAGTTTCTAAATATAATAAAGAGAAAAAAACTATCGATTTCTGTGTGATTTGTAGCTTATTTTCGTATGTCAATTAGGAAGGTACTTGGTTCTTTTAGATTTATGTTGGTAGGTACTTTCATTTGACATTTAAACGCCCAATAGAGTAACAAGGGCGTATATAATTTTAAAGTACAGTACCTACAAAGAAAGTCGTGACAGAATGAATTTGTTATGCACATTAACTACGATGTAAAAATTAACAGTTAATCAATTAGCTACATTGTTCACATACGTCATATAAACTATGAACTGAAACTCTTACAATTCCTAAACAATTAATTTCTGTAAGTATGCGCGTATTGGTAATAAAATATACCCGCAATGATATGTAAAAAGTATCTACAATTAAATGCTTAATCAAATCAACGAATACTTGTTTGAAAAGACTCATTCTATTCCTAATTTAAAATTTAAAATTAGACAAATTTGGCAAGCAAGTTGGACCTACCTATCAATTATATTTTTTTCTTCTAACTTCCTGAGTGTCAAATTAATGGTCCCTAAGCGACAAATGTCTTTTTTAGGATTAGGAAAATTAGACATGTCTTATAGCAGACATCGCAGATGAGAGATTTTATTTTGAAAACAGTGATGGCAGATTCAATAACACGACACATGAATTTTTAGAGCTCCAAAAAACAACGGTTCTGCTTGTAAAAAACCAATTCAATATTCATAATTTGCCTTAACACAGAGAGACGCGGTATTTAGCTAGTTTTTAGGTTGGAGTGGTACTTGATGATGTAGCTATGAGTCAGCTTTTGTTGAACTATGGTGACTTGCTGAGGCAAAAATACGGCTTGAAATCATGACGCACTTTAACTACCAAGTACTTACACCTAAATTATTTAGCTGCCATTGGGCAGATTTTTCAATAGTCAGATAAAAGTTATCTGAAGAATATAATTGTTGCTGTCACTGTCTTATACAAACATTTTGACTCGACATTATCATAATTATTCCCAGATAACTTTTATCTAATCATTGAAAAATCAGCCCTTAGTAAAACCGAAGCGGCGTGCAAAATGGCGGGAATAGCTGTCTAATATACCATAGACAAGGTTAATAGATAATTCCAAAAACACGCACCTTTTCCATTTTCCACCTTGATTGGGCCGATGATATCAAACAGTCCTTTCATAGAAGAAAAACCAGGGCCACCTTGCAACCATATAATTAGAGGAGTTTCTGATAAATTAGTGGCAGCTGGGAAGAACCAAAAGAAGAGATTGGAGTTGTATTCTTCCTTCACCGTTATAAAACCAGAGTGACTCTTAAGTCCTATAAAGGCTGTTGAGTTTACTTCTGAAAGTTCTCTCGCTAAGGATGCGTTGCCATTTCGGATGTAAGGCGTCAGTATCAGGCAGTCACCGCACGAATTCTCTTCTGCCCCGAGAACACAGCTGTGGAGAAAATAATTCATGAATATAATAAAAATCATAACCCTCCTTTTGCTTTGCCGTAGTCGGGTAAAAATTAAAATTAACCAACACAATTTTTGGAAACCATAAAATGTCGTTAGTATTTAAAGAAGTTCTATCTTTGTTGATGATTAGGCCACGGATTAGGCACATCATATAACTATTTGAATGAGCTTATAATACCAAAAAGTAGGTACTGGAACTAACGTAATTTGAAAACTTTTTGCTAACGTAAGTTGAATGTTGGCATTTTAAAATGAAAATGTAAATAGGTACAGTTAATTATTCAAATAGGAACTTGAACAAGTTAGAACTTGAGATACTTAATGTATCCCGTTCCCGCCAGGAGCGAAGCAGTAATAATTCCGCAGGTACCAACCTAAGGGCAGCAACTAAGACCACAAGTATAGCTCGCTCCATGACCGGCTCCGTTGCAAACCTGTCTACTAATGTTCACTACATAAAACAAACGTACTTATAATATAAAGCCATAGAAAATTTCATGACGAATCTTGAGGTGTATTCGTCATTTAATCCATTTTCTTACGTAGCCTACCTATCTAAGTGTCTACAGTAAATGGTAATAGATTTTCCTTTTACATAATTTTCCTTATTTGTGTATTGTCCTTTGGGGAATATTGCGATTGGCCCTTTCACGTCAGCTAGCGACAGCGTCAGCGTTCGGAAATTGTGACCCGGCTAATTCAAAAAATAATTAATTTATTACAATAATATATTGATTGTTTAAGGAAGAGACATTACAATTTTTAAGAATATTACACAATAACACAGAAGAGAGAATGACCAGCTCACTGTTAAAACCATGTCATTTTTTATACGTTTGTCTTTATTGTTCTATTTGATGATGATGATGATCTTTATTGTTCGATTTTCTTTATGATGTATCTATCATTTCTCTATATGTGTTGTAATGAATACATTAAAGATAAACACAGGTTAGCTTTTCCTACGAATATGGTTTCCAATGATTTTAATCATTCATTTTTTTATCATTTTGATTAGGTTGGTTTCACCCCAAATTCAATTCAAAGAATAAACCTAGGTACTCTATAGATGTCGAATTTAGGTAAATGCTCTACATCCATGTTTGTTAATGCTGGTGTATCTCAAGGCTGCATATTACTACGTACCTACGTTCCACGTTAATATCAATGACAAGCTACCACAAAATACCAGCTTTACCTATATAGCTCAAACAATGCTTCTAACAATGCGTTACGGTTGCGTTAACATTTCTAAAGAAAACGTCATTACGGTTTGAAAAAGTCACAGTTGAATTAGCCTGGCCTAGACTAATTCTATGAAGAAAAATCAGCATATCATCACAGGTAGTTTGTTCTAGGTCTTCTCCAAGCTACACCTCACTTACCGCGAGATGTCAGTTCGGCCGATGAGGTATGTTGTCAATTAGGTATGTTACCTGTATGGTAGTTATAATTCGTGGTACTTATGTTACCAAATATCCTAACATGACGCTCCAAAAGTAGGTACATTAAAATTTGTGCATGCATTTTACTGCCTCTGTGCCAATCAGCAACCGTAAATTATGTTTCATGTCAGTTCTTATCTTCTTGGTATTTCGTGTGTTACTTCAAACTTTGCTTGCATGTCAACGTACCGACGTAGTTCGCCTCCCCGCGTCAGAACGGCTGCAGAAGACGCTCCGGCCGCGTCGATGATTAAGCGCGGTTCTAGACTACGAGTCTACGGACAAGGGTAGCTACGAAGCCCAATAAGAACCAGACCCGAGTGTATACTCATAGGTACCCCTAAGTAGCTGCCACACATAAGCGCCGTCCGTAGGATAGAAAGGCTGAGATTCTGCGGTAAAGACCGTACCCTGTCGGAGCCAGGGTATGTCGCCACATAGTTACCTACCGATGCCCCGGAATGGAGTACAGGTTGGAACGGTGTCATTTTAGGTACTTATTAAATCTGTGGGTAATTCCTTCTCGCCTCACACATGACAAGAAAAAGCAGTTTATAAGTTGCACGCGGGCCATGAAAATGCGGCAGGTTTGTACCGAGTGATTAGGGAATAACATTTTTGTTTGTGTAAAATACTACGCCACAGACTAGGATTATCTTTTGCGTTGGATGCGCTTAGAGAATATCATCGTACGCCTATCGACTTTCTATAGATATCTACAGTCTCTTAGGTACCTGACAATCACCAGAATCTTGTAAGAAAGACCATTAATTAAACAGCTGTTTTTTTCTCAAGTTACTTCGCTTGATTCCAGAGCTGTACTGGTTTGGACCGAGGTTGATAAAAACTATAGTGATTTAACGATGGCCTTCTGCAGTTTATCAATACAAATATTATTTATTTATTTATTTATAACTTTAACAAAATAGACTTACAGTACGAGACCAAGTCGTCTAAATGTTATCTTAAATTAAATTACAAACATTTATGAAAATCTAGTATATCTACTTTACATTAAATTACGGGCATTAATGAGATTATATTTTGCAATTATCACAGTTATACAAATTTACCATGTTATGCTAAATATCATAATAAAATTTACATAGAAAAAATAAAATTAATTAGACAAAATTATTATAATTAAAAGAAGAATAACAATAATTAAAATTATTTAAATAACTTAAAATGTGTCTTGACATAATATTGACACCATCAAAAAATAAGTCTGCATCTAGGTTGCGCTGTAGGAAATCATTCAACATAAGAACCGCCCGACCTGTAGGACAGTTACCACCGTGAGGGGAGCGCCAACTCGGTGAAGAAGCAAGTAACAATAATTTAAAAAAAATATAAGGAGGTATTTGTAAGTTTGTATGTAGGGGGTAATCTTTGGAACCGTTGGTCGGATTGTCAAAATTCTTTCACTGGCTACAATGTTCCTGACGGCTAAAGGCTATAAAAAATCACGCTATGATCTATGATGATATAAGTAGCTATTCATTCATATTCATACATAGAAAAACTTAGGTACCTAGCATAAAATGTTTTACTAGAAAAAATTCGAAAAACGACACATGACATATAACAAGATTAAATCGATAAGCATGTTTGAATTGACAAAAACATCTAATTGTTAATGCAAGTCAACATCGATGCCGCAAGGCCGTCGATTGATCTTGACCGTAACCAATCGCCTGCGCCTCGCTTGCGGCGAACAGAAATGTCGATGACTCAACCAGAATCTCACGGAGGAGCCTGCCCATAAAGATTCAACCACATTAACATGGGCTTAATAAACTTAATGTGTTTTTTACAAAGAAATCGCGTTCGAAATTAGTGTTAGGGAAAAACCTCCCAATACAGAAGCTGTCCGGTTCTACAAGCGTGGGAAAATCAGTTATCAGTTAAGTCGGATCACGCACATCGTAATACGCAATTACGTATAAAAATCACGTATTTAAATGTATCGCATCGATGTCATTCGATGTTTGTTTTACTACGAGCATCCTAAATATAGAGCAAATCACTTTTAAGAGCGTGCAAGAATCTATCGCGAATATCTGAGCGTGGGAGCGCGTTTATGCTAAGCAGGTCATTGGTACCCCGCGCCTTACCTCGCGATCTACAGGATGTTCCGATACCCACGCGGAACAATAACATCCATTTATTAATTTTGAATACTTGCTCTGATTCATATTTGAGAAATTGTGAAAATACAATTTAACATGTCAACTTACCTACATGGCAAGGAATAATTTAATACAAAAATAATGACGTTTTAATTTAGTCATTATAAATTCCCATTACTTTTTATGTAGTTTACCGTACTGTCTATCTATGTAAAAGCTTAGGTTGACGTATTCAGGAAAGTGATTATTTATATTATATTATTAAATTTCTTTTTATTATTTTTATTTTTATTATATTATTTAATTTCTTTCACCGTGTACATGTGATACCTACAAGTTTTTTTATGTTTTTTTATTTTATTTTACTAAACATTATTCCTCATGATTGATCATGTTAAAGTATAAGGTTTCTACTTATTAAACAAATTCTTTTCGTCTCTATCAGGTTTTTTTCTAGAGTCAGAGAGTGAGACAAATAATACAATTTTTACAATAGTGTCATAACACAATTTCTGTTCTTTTCTTTTACAAAAAACTTTTCTGAATCACCCAAAGTAAGATACGAAGCCCAAATTCATCAATAAATAAAAATCGATCATCCGTAAACAAAGTAAGTAGAGCAGCCTGTATAGAAGATCGAGATAAATCCAAGTTCAAGACGCAAGTGCACGTTGAAAACTGGCTGACTATACAAAGTTCCCGAGGCTAGGACGCGGGCCCATTCCGCTGTGGAGGACGACACGCGAAGCACCCTCGGCTGATAGTGACCACACAAAATGGACGTGCTTTTGACATTTATGTTATTGACGTAAGTTTTTTTTTAATTCATCCTAACCGCGGGAATCTCAAGGCGGGAAAGAGATCTTCTTTTTTTTCATTTTTGAATTTGGAATTGATTATGATGGTTTTATAATTTTTATTTTAACGTTGTTTATGGCTTTAATATTGTTGTACCGTAAATTTATTCCGGTACGAACCTGTATAAATTTTAATTTTCGGCTGGTTTTTATTTTTTAATAGAAAGTACGTACGTAGGTCATGTTAGGTATATTACGAACAGAAATTGACGTCAATTAGGGAATATCGTCACATGTTTATTAGATACAACATACATAGGTATAAGCTTAACTATTTCCTTATGGTTATTGATGACTAAGGAAATATCAATGCATTCGCTACTGCGTTGTTATTCAAGCATTTAACATTACCTATTTTAGTTTTCCTTAAAATTTTGTTTAATTACCTTATTACGCACCTAAGGCATTTCACACTTACCTAAGCTACTAGCCCTCTGATCCTGAAAATTACAATTTGAGATTTCATAAAAAGAAATATTAACACTTTAAAAAACTCTGCTTATATCTTTTTTTTAAATCATACGATTTACACAGATGCGCTCATCAAGCAGTATGGGGAGTCGAAGATGGTTCTCTACCTGATCTTCCACCAGGTGAGGCTCCGGAGCCAATCCTGACATTTATGGAGAGGACTTACAAAACGGGCCGAGCTCGAGCTGCGTTTGATGCTGGCTCTCCACTTCTGCTTACACCTTACATCGAACAGAAGAAGCTGGAAGAAGCTAGGAAAGCAGCCTATGTAGATCCTGAATATCTGTTGCCTGATATGGACAGTTATGCGGGGTACCTTACTGTAAGTACAACATTAATCATAATCTTACATTTTATATTTAAAAAATGATTGTATTTTGAAAACGTTTGAGGCTCTTATTTACATTTACTTACTTATCTATAAGTACTTTTACTCTTACTGACTCAAAACCACTTATTTCTGGGCTGGGTAAATCAGCCCTGTTAGACCGATATACATGTATGTATATGGAAAGAGAAGGGAAACAGAGGAGGTATTAGGTATTCAGTAAGAGTAAGACAGTTATTTTCATGTCTTCCCCAGGCGAGAGGGTTCCTTGAAGATTTTAAACTTTAGAATCAACAAAGGTTTAGTAATACAAAAATAGAATTAATAGAATTTTTTTTTTTTTTTTTTGTAAATAATCTTTTCAATTAAAAAAAAAATAGTAAGAACTGGTCATAAAATTAATTATAACAGTAGATATTGATTAAATCATAAGAGGTCAAAGCACCTATAATGGCCTTGTGCCTCCAAGAAGTGGCGTCATATTCAACAAGTTATAGCTGTAATAGATAACTAGTTTCTATTCCTGAGTCTTTACTTACAAATCAAACATACTTCAATAAGGATAGACAAAGGCATTAATAAGATTCTTTCTTTATTTTCTTCCCTTTTTTTTAAACATTCTTTTTTATGCCCCACATTAGGATTTTCTTCTATGTCGTGGGTGCGGTTACAAAACATAAGTACAATTTACTTTTACCCAGACCCGGAACAACAATTTGTGGATCACACAAAGAGTTGTTCCGTGCGGGAATCGAACCCGCGACACGTTGAACGGCAGCCAGTTGCCCAGCCACCTCACTAACCGTGCAGTCGAAGATTATTCTTCCCCTTTTTTAACCTTTTAATCTTGATTAATTGAGTCACTTTAGAAGAACAAAAGATACGCGAACGCGGCGTTCAATGCTGAAAATTCATAAGTGTCTCGAATTACCACGATTGAAATTTTAAAAGAGACAATTAGTCTTACTTTTCTCGTGTATCATGGGAATTATGGGGGAATTTGAAAACATACAATATATATGTAGGTATATATAGAAGCCCCCTTCCGCTTTCTCTTTGCCACCTGTAGCAGTTCTATGGATAGGAATATCTTGGTGAGAGACTTACATGAAGCCCAGATCTACAATTTGTGGATCACACAAAGAGTTGTTCCGTGCAAAAATGCGGATGTTGAATACCAACTGGTTGCCGTGCTACTGTCCCCATCGTGCCAATAACATTTAATGTAACAAGTAGGTAATAGGGGCTAATATTGCTCTACTTAATTGATGTCTTAATATTCTTTATTTAGTTAGCAACCATTCATTTATATTACCTTATGTATGCCTTACCTATTAATCAAACGAATAATATGTATGTTTTCAACAGGTAAACAAAAAATACAACGCGAACCTATGGTTCTGGTACTTCCCAGTGTCAGGTAAATCTGTGGAGGACACTCCATGGATTATCTGGCTGCAGGGAGGCCCGGGTGCCTCCTCACTGTATGGACTCTTCACTGAAATAGGACCTTTCTTCGTATCCACCGACAATAATTTGGAAGGTAAGTTCTCTGAATGATTTTGTAATCGACTGCCAATTCAGGGATGTTATGGAACTTCGTAATCGAAACCGAAACCATCGGGTATCCGAAATAAAAATATATCTACTTATCCGTTTCGGAAAAGGGTGGAGTTTAAACAAAGCGTGCTTCGATAGGTTTCTGATACTTAACTCACGTTCCTTTGATGGAGAAACCATGATAGAGGTACTTTCAGCCTATTATTGACTAAAAAACACTCTGTTATTTTTCCTCTCCGACCAAGCCGAGGTCGCTGTACCTGATATACTACTTGCCCCGCAATTCTGGTTGAGCAGCCATTCGCTTAACCTGTGCAGTCAAATTCATAACAAAATTAAGTATGATATTTTCCCAGAAATCCACCATTCTTGGGGTAAGAACCATTCGTTGCTCTTCATCGACAACCCAGTGGGAACTGGATTCAGTTTCACAGACGACGACAGAGGATACGCTACCAACCAAACCACGGTAAGCAAAATAATAAAATACTATTACAGAAATATATTTAAGTCAAACATTAATTGAGACATTAAATATTATATTTCTGTAATAATTACAATAGAGATGACGAATTTAGCTTTCAATCTGTCTTTTAGATTTTTTGTATTACACACCTATTTATATTTTTCTTACATAATCAAATACTTTTCTTTTTTTACTTGTCTATATATTGATTTGAAATTTAATATCACCTCACGACTCTTTACATTTTATACTCAACCGTGAGAGACCGACGCCGCAAATTCATTTTATTTAAATATCTATTGTTTAATAAAATGAATTAAATACAAAATAAAACTATACGCGTATAATATTATTTCATTAGCTAAATGACGGTCAAATACATTTTTTATTTTTGTAGGTTAGGTTAATAAACGTATTTCTAATCTACAGATCGGAGAAAACTTATACAACGCGTTGCAGCAGTTCCTAACAATTTTCCCTGAACTTCGAAAAGCTCCACTCACTATTGCTGGAGAGTCTTACGCTGGTAAACACATACCTTCGCTTGGCGTCCAAATCTTGTGGCACAGGCATGAAGACGAGCCTATTAATCTACAGGTAAATGAGGGCATTACAGGCAAGTATGTCATCACTTTTGCTTCTGAAGGTGACATCTGCAGTCTAGGTGACCAATTTCTTGTGACATTAAGGTGCTAAAGCCTAATCACAGTAGTAGTAGTAGGTATAAAACAAAGTTGCTTTCTCTGCCCTCTATCCCTATGTGGATATGATTAAATCTTTAAAACTACTCAACGAATATTGATGAATTCATTCAAGCATTCATGCTTTTGGATAGATTGGATAGACTGATACATATGTATAACGATATCCATTAAATAGGGGAGACATTTAGTATCCTCATTACAACCGGGCGAAGCTGGGAGTCGTTAGTTCTATTATAATTTACATCTCAAGGTCTTAGTACAAGTATACAAAATTAAATGACCGATAAAAGTCAGGTCCTGGCCAATAAAAAACAATTCATTCTTATGCTACTTATATATTTTTGTATAGGTGTCTACCTAAATGTGTGTACCTACCTACCTACTGATACTTATGAGTAGTAAGTTTAATTCAATTTGCCTCTGTCTTCCTCTAAACCGTCTTCTCAATTCCAGGGTCTGGCTATAGGTAACGGTTTCATCGATCCCGTCACCCTCCAACGGTACAGTCACTTCGTGCGTGAGGTGGGTTTAGTGGATGACAAAGTTGCTAAGTCCATGAACGACCTAGAAACAGCCGTCGTGCAGTTCATTAATAACGGAGAGATGGTTAAAGCTTACGCGGTGAGTTTAGAATCTTAAGTTTTAATATCAATACTTCTCAGAATAGACAAACATTCCTAGACGAAGGTGTGTATAAAAACACAAAAAAATACATGCAGCGCCTGCGATATCGCGTAGAGCAATTGTGTTTTCTGACGGAAGAAAGACCCATTATATACGCTGTGTAATAAAGAATTTTATTTTTATTTTCAGTACTACAACTATCTCCTCCAACTATTCCTGTCTCACTCACATCTTTCGAACCTTTACAATTATTTGCAAGACGATATTAACCTGGAAGGCGCATACATGGATTATATTCAGAGGACCGAAGTCCGAAAAGCATTACACGTTGGCAACACCAACTTCACGTCCATCGGCGTTGTGTATAGGAAACTTGTACCTGACTTTATGGGCAGCGCTAAAATGTGGCTGGAAGAGCTGTTAGAAAACTACAAAGTTATGCTCTACAAGTAAGTAGTATTAATACCGTAATAAAAAATCTGATTCTGAAAACTATTAAAAAAGAGTAACCATGAAGTTTCTTGCTCATTCTTCTCCATCGGAATCTACTCTTTAATAGCCTTTAAAAAGGACTGACCGATATTTTTATCTTAAAATCTTTATTTATTTTGACTTTCCAAATTGCCTCTAATGGTTAATTCATTTTGGCACAAGCCTTAGCCCCATTTTACCTATAGGTATAGGTAACTACCTAATAGACCTAAACCCATTTCAACTACTAAAGACAGGTTATCCCCAAAATAGTTCAGGCTTGTGCTAAAATGAACACAGCAATAAAGTAAAGCAGTAAAATGTACCAACTTAACAATCATTGTTCTATAATACGATATGCTTTGCTTAATATTTTCAACGAAAACTGACACTATATTTTGTTTCCAGTGGTCATTTGGACATCATTGTGGCGTACCACCCGTCTTGCAGTACTTACAGTGCGCTATCGTTCTCCGGGTCAGCAGCGTATGCAAAAGCGAAGCGAACTCCTTGGTACCATGATGGAAAACTGGCTGGGTAAGCTTTGTGCTTATCTATATTTACGAAAAATAAACAGTCCCCTTTATGGTCCGCAAGTAGCTTATGTTTGGCATTACGTCTTATGTTAACCTGTACGAAATTGAGTGCAGTAGGCCTGCTACGGAGCTATTATAGCTCCATCCGGATTTCCTTCCCAGAAGATCGACGCTTTAACACGCCATTGTAGGCCTACAAGTTAATTTTTGTTTGACTTCCAGATATTACCGAGTGGCCGCCAATCTCACAGAGGTTATGATCAGAGGTGCCGGTCACATGGTGCCTGCAGACAAGCCGGCAGCTTCGCTCGGTCTGATATCAGCATTCGCGCGCGGCATTTCACTAAAGCAAGACACAGCTAGCCTCGTTGATTCAGAAAAAAACTTGCTGCGACGGCGTCAGTTGCCACTGAAGTAGTCAACTCGAAATTAATTAACGCTTACTTGGTTATCATCGGTATTGTTTTGTATGATGGAATGGTATTTTAAATAAAATGAATTGTCAAAACAGTGTGTTTCTGGTTTTATTTAAGTTAATACAACATAACACTTCACACGCCACACAACTGAAATATAAAATCCTTACAGAATGTCTTAATGAATGCTCACCGGCCTTCATTGTAAACCAATGTTCATCTGTTGATTTTTGAAGAGTGTCTGACAATGTTTCACGTTTGTTATCAGACTCATCAAATTGATATACCACAGATATACTATTTTACCCTTTTGAGTGCAATTATCTTTAAATTAGTTAGGTATACAAAAAACACGACCAAAATGAAGAATCACTTCCTTTTTTTGAAATCGATTATAACGTCACAACGGTAGCGGGCCCCGGGTATCGTCACTGTGCGGACCACCCGGAGGACAGTGGAGTATACAGTGGAGGTGTGCCCTGTTTGGGCTGAGCACTACCGTGTCCTCAAGGAAGGAATCGGCGACAGCGACCGGCCTTAGTAGAAGGTTTCCATGTCATACGATAGTGCCAAAAGCCCGAACAGAACAGGCCGGAGCGTAGCCTCGTTCCGCGCGCGTCTCAAAGCACTAACAACTACAGATGAGACCCAATGGGGCTAATTACTCATAATGTATCTCAGAACCAGCCTGGAGTAGGAGAAGCAACGAGGTAGTTTTAGTCATGAGAGAGACACAGGTACCTATAAATTCCTATAATTGGAAAACCGACCTTCATCCTAAACAGACACAATATATAATATTACTGTGCCATGGCGAGTTGTGTTCAAAGCACTGGATACATGTCTGTTTCTTAACCATCGTAAAAGTAGTGTCATATTATGTCGAACGCCGTCAAATGTATGAAACTAGGACGGTCTGGCTGGACTGATACAACATGCCACGCCACGGTAATATATTTCAAGCTTTAAGGTGGAAATCCATTACCCATTATTTTTGCTCAGAATATTTTCAACTTTCAGTTAGACATACGAGAATTCAATTCATTAATTAAAAATTGACAACCCAGCGATATTATTATTTGTTTTTAATAGTCAGCAACACTGCTATTGGTGACGTTTCCGAGAGTGCGCAGGCAAAAGAGAATATTCATCGAAATAAAATAAGATTAAACTAGTTATTTGCCTCTTCAATTATTAAAGTGATGTTATTAATTATGATTATGTAGTTTTTTACTTTAAGTGCAAAGTAATTAACTGTATTTGCATAGCATTTTAGCAACGGAAGTCGTGTAATAACATCACGTCATGTCGTTGTATGTGGTTTGCGCATTGCTGCTTTTGACGCCTATTCGAGCATTTTATTTGCCGGGTTTGGCTCCAGTAAACTATTGTATAGCTAGTGATGACACTAGCAAATCTTGCAAGGTAATCAACCATTATATTTCCTTATTAGAATCGTTTAAACAATCAATAAATTCCTAAACCGATTCATGCATGTCTTGGGAACAAAAATGCTTTTGCTTACATTCTTAAAATTTGTTTCATTCTGTAGTGATTGTAAAAATTATCGTATTTAGTTTATCAATCAGGTTTTGTTTAGTATAGCGGTTTAAGCAAAATGAATTGCAATCTGATTAAAGATTTTAAATGACCGCATCAAGGAGGTAATTAACGTGTTATTATTTTTAATCAATGTTTCAGACGGAAATCCCGCTGTATGTAAATAGATTAAACACAGAAGAATCAGTAATTCCATTTGAGTATCACCACTTTGATTTCTGTACTACCGATGAAAGTCAATCGCCTGTGGAGAATCTCGGTCAAGTCGTCTTCGGCGAACGAATACGGCCGAGTCCTTACAAGCTCGAATTTCTTCAAAATGTGGAGTGCAAAGCAGTCTGTACTAAGACATATAGAGGCTCGGACACAGATTCTAACAAACGGTTGAATCTGTTGAAAATGGGCATGGCTCTCTCTTACCAGCACCATTGGATCCTAGACAACATGCCTGTGACTTGGTGTTACTTGGTTAATGAGGGGGGGAAGACCTATTGCAGTACTGGGTTCCCGATGGGCTGCCAAGTGCGCAAAGACATGGTGAGTTAAATTCTTACATGTATTTTGTACTAAGCAAATGTTAAAGTAATGTTTGTTTTACAACACACATTTGAAATTGAGGTACCTATCTGCTAAGACTATACAAGAAGGCTTCAAAAAATATTATTTTGTGTAATATTTATACAACAAATACTAATTTTCCAATTGGCAAACCAGTCCTGAAGCATGATATGAATGAAACCTATTAAGACTAAACTCATATATTATGAAATTATTTTCATATCAATTTAATTTAAATATTTGTAAAATGGTTAAAACTTTCACTGTTTGGTTAAGCTTACAAGACAAGTCAATTAGTTATGTTTGCATTCGTAATTAAAAGGTCAATTATTCCAATCACTAAACTAAAGTTATGAAAGTGAATGAACGTTTAATATTTGAATCTATAAATATTTATATAAAAACATAGAAAAAAGGCTTTCCGATATGAATACCTTGTCTTATCAATTTCATTAAATATTTTGTTTTTGGGAGGCCACAAAATGCAAATACTTTATGAAGAATCAGTACTAATAAGAATAGAAAATAGTGGGAAGTATGTTTGTGAGAAGTATTATTATTATATTACAAAACATTAAATGAAATTAAATGAATATCAATTGATGCTTTTAATGCTTTATTCAGGTTAATTATTATAAGCATGGCATTGAAATTACAATTCAATTTTTATTTGTTTAACTGAAGGCAGCTGTGGTAATTTCTTAAAACAAAATGATGATAAGAAAAGATAAAAATTTATGCAGTTTTTCAATTTATTTAAAATTCGATTAAAATAAATACTATGGAAAAAGTTATAACAATGCCATTTTGGTAAATGTGAGAAAAAGTGTTACTTCTTGAACATCTCTCTTCATCACCTCTCAAAAGAACAAAAGCTGACATAATATATATTTGTAAAAAATCTTTTTTTATGCTTGCTCTTGGAATAAAACCTATTGTAATAATACAATTTACTTTTCAACCATTGAAAGTAGTAGATCATTTTGTATTGTGTTGTGCCTTTTATTGATTAAACAATTAGAAGGTTAAGAAATGTATTTACACCAAGGTTGTTATGGTTATTAGGTTTCAATTGTAAATAGTTTATTATTTTGGTGTTTCATGATTCATCACCACATTCACATATGAGATTTATCCACTGCTAAACATAGTCCTCCTGCACTTTTATATGGGTGCAGTGCAAGCCACCTGAGTCTTAAAATAACTAAGATGTTTACATAAACCTTTAAAATATGCTTTCACTGACATTGTAATGGCTGAAAGCAGTCTATTCATTCATCCAGGGCGACATTTTAAGGCGACTAGATAAAAACTTATTACATTAAAATTTTAAGAGTGATTTTTTTCATTATTTTTTGTAACACATTATATTATTATGTTTAATGGCTTACTCACTAAACTAACAAGATTTCAAGGCACACTAGGGGCTCTTGTACTCGAGGGTGAGTTGTCTGCGTCATGCGGATAGCTTAAAACTTTACCTAAGCAAGCTGTTGAATAAAATATTAAACACTAAATATCCTTTTCCATTATACTTTGTGTGATTCTTTATTTCACATAAATTAATTCATTTATTTGGTTCACACAGGGTGAATTTAGTTGATAATAAGGACCTGACAGTCCCCTTTCAATATTACTTTTTATACATATAACATTAACATTATTACTAAAAAAAAGGTTTATTATACACACTTTTTATTAAAACAAAGTTTGTAAAGAATCTATCAATGTTAACATTGTGAGTAGACTATTTAAACAGTTGCTGTTCACAGCTATACACAACTTATAGAGCATTTGAATGCTAGGTCTGTACTTGAATAAATGAGTACAAATGATATCACATTTTGTTACAATACATTTCTGCTTGTCCTCACGGTCCGTCCTTGTATGGAATGCCATGTCTTATTCATTACATTGTCATTAAAATTATTGTTGACAAGTTGTTTATAATATTTTAGTTAAAATGAAACTAGAAACTTTTTTATGCTTTTTTACGTTTTTATCTTGAGCCTGATGATTATGTTTTCTCTTCAGCTAGAAGAAGATCTGTAATCATAGTTTTTATTCATTCAATTAAACATCGTTTTGATCTGCTTTCTGCCAGTGACATTGCCCAAAGTATCCTGTGTTAATCCAGAATATAATCAGAATCTATTCGGTAGTTTTTATCAACATTTGATTTTATAATATTTGTAGAAAGATTAACAAGTATATTAGACTGAGAGTTGGACATGATTGTGTTAATAATGTTCAACTCTAGTATTTAATTAAATACTTTATTTTCCGTGATAATTGTTAGAAACGTTATCAGGAAGTAACATTATTTGTCAATTAGTGCCATTTAATGTTATCGCATTTGCCAGTTATACTACATTTTTAAATTAAATTTTTGTTACATTTTTATAACATTACTTTGGCTTAGACAAATTTTAGTAGGATGTGTAATTTTAACTAAATATTGTTATACGAAGATAGTTATCGGAATAAGGTACTGATAAATGCTACAAAATGAAATCGTGTCATGTTTATCTGTGTGGAATGTGTATTTTTATAAATGCATCGAAGCACCTAATAAGCGAAGTATCAACGCTAGCTGATGGACATTTCAAATATAGAATGATTGTTAATTGAATCAACCATTTCGGAATCTATTTTTATAGTGCGCTTTCTTCTTTTTCGTTATGAACTTATGTAGGTAACTCGTAAGTTAATGTTTAGAACCTACATCCATTATCGGTACCTACTAAGTGGATATTATTAAAACTGTCTAAAGTTAATTTGTACAGCAATTTATAGAAGTAAAAGCTTAATATTCTGTCAAATAGTTAGGCACATTAGTATAGATACGAATATCCGGCGTGTTACTGATTATTTGGTTTCCATACATTAAATAAGTAGGTATTTTAATCGTGGAATGATAATGATTATTGTCGAAAAATTAATTATCAGTTTTAAACTAACTCTATGTGATTATACTACTGTGAATCAGTTTTGGCATCGACATATAAAAAGCTATTTACTATAGCATCTAGTATGGATGTTTAAATTATTGAATGTTTACTTAAAATATAGGTAGGTGTGCCTATGGTCTATCGGTTAAGATGGTTAAATAAAGAATCTTGGTATGTCTTTTTATATTAAAGACTAGCTTCCGCCTCCTAAAAAGTAGCCTATGTTCTATTTCGGAGTGTCTCTTATGCATGTGTCAAATTTCATCCAGATCCGTCTAGCCGTTTTCGCTTGATTGAGTAACAAACATCCAACATCGTAAACTTTCGCATTTTAATATTAGTAAGATAAGATTCGTAAGATGTATTGTAAAATACATATACAATTATTTTTTAATTTAGTTTGTTAGGTAACATCGATTTTGTTAAATACCTGTAAAAAATTTTACATACAATTTTTAGACAACTTTCAGATAAAAAGATATGCCAAGATTATTTACATTTAGTTAATTACTAAACGATAGACCATAATTTATTTTAAACTAGCGGCCCGCCCCCGCTTCGCACGGGTCCAACTATCTCGCTATGAAAGGGTCACTTTTTCCCAATTTTCCCCTCTACTACTCCAATATTTTCTTTGATTAGAACCTTCTCCTGACAATAACAAACATACCAAAAAAAGAATTAGCAAAATCGGTCCAGGCGTTGTTGAGTTATGCGCTTACCAACACATTTTGTGATCCATTTTTATATAAGTATAAGATATTAATTAGAAGGATGTCCTCTAACATACTGATTGTACCTATGATGTTGTCTTTTTTGACATACTACAGGAAAATATAAAATTGCATACTTAGGTAATCCCTGAAATGAAAATGAAACACGAGGGATTTTGATAAGCGCGATAAATGAAACGTACGTTGTTAATTATTGTGCGCCTAGTAACAATTTTTTACAGATTATTGTGACCGAAAACCATTTACTAATAAACACTATTCGTGCTACTCACATTAGGTATATTAATTGGTTTCATTTAAATACATCGTTTGATAGTTTAAGGTTGCATTGATAAAGAAAAAAAAACAATAAAAAAGAAACAACAGTTATTAGTTATATTTTTTCATGTTAGGAACATATTTATATTTTTGTTTGTGTAGCTCTAATTTTAATCTTAGGTTTAAGTATTGTTTAGTTTGTTACAACCTATTTCTCTGTCTCCTATATTTTGTCACACACAGTGTCTTATGTCTCTTACATTTTTCCTTTCTAAGGACTGCAGTAAAAGCTTCCAAATAGGAATATGCAGTACCTATGTACCTACCTCTGTTTCTGTATTTGTTTTTCTATTAATTGTAGGTGAAGTTCGAATGTTCTTAGAACATTAAAGTTCTCGATAAGAATTGTGCGGTCTAACTCTAAAATAACACAAAATAAAACCGTGTCGTACTGTTTTATACGTTATTACTAACAGTAGTAAAATATGTAACACGTATTTATTTCTTTCTAGGACACATGTACGCCGATTGTGAACGGCCATTCAAGTCGTATTGGCGCTTACTACCTTTTCAACCATGTAGACTTGGAGATCACATATCACAGTGGTAGCGAAGAGGAGTGGGGCGTTGCTTTCGGTGAAAATGGCGGTCGAATTATATCTGCTAAGGTAATTTGGATATTATTTGCTTATTCTCAAGGTGGAGAATGCTGGAGCATACATCAAGATGAGGTATCATTTGTCCAGAAGTGCAAGACCCACTTTAAGGAAGATTTTATCGATTGTGATTAGACATTACCAAAACGAGATATTGTATGTTTGAAATTAAGAAACAGATCAAAAGGGTACAGATCAATTATGTTAGTGGCATTGTATTTCATAATATTTGTACTTGTTTTCAGGTGAAACCAGCCAGCATTCGACATGCCAACCCATCGAAACCTGATTGTTCTGCCCGTGGTGCTGAACTACTCATCCCAACTGAAATCGATTCAGACAAAGTCTTCAACATTACATACACTTACAGTGTTACCTTTAAGAAAAATAACACTATCAAATGGTCCTCACGATGGGACTACATTCTCGAGTCTATGCCACAAACGAATATACAATGGTTCTCCATCCTAAACTCTTTGGTGATAGTCTTGTTCCTCAGTGGTATGGTCGCTATGATTTTACTAAGGACTTTGTACAAAGATATTGCGAGGTACAATCAAATGGAATGTGGTGAAGATGCACAGGTAAGAACAGTTATCACTATTAACTCATAATTCAATTTATTTAGTGCTCACTATTGAGTTTTGGTTTGATCATACAATTGATGTGTTATGTGTTTCAAATAATGTTTTAATGTAATTGCAGGAAGAATTCGGTTGGAAGTTGGTGCACGGTGACGTATTTCGTCCCCCACGCCGCGGTATGCTGCTGGCCGTGTTCCTCGGATCTGGATCTCAGGTACACACAGGCTCTAATAAATTTATCAAACCCTAGTGGTGTGCAAACGATATTGTTGTTGTATTATGCTGGAGGGTGAAAAATCCTCTGCCTCTTATGTCAAATGGTTACAATCTAGCGCTAGCGCGAGCTGTGTAAGATTATGGTTTCGTTGGCTGTTTTCTCATCCCAATGTAATTTTTTTGAAGCGAAATGGATATTGAATAGTTTGCTGAACATTCTGTTGTGATGATTGCAATACTTGGAAGTAAAGAATACATATTTTATTGATATAACTATGCTTAGGTACTTAGCGTACGCGTAAGACACGCACTTTTGCATTATATTTGTTTCTCAAACGATTGTGTTATGTTTGTTTGGTTTATTAGTTGTAAACACCGCTACGGGTGGATCGGATCGGATAAACGAACTTTACTTCGCAACTTGATTTTCGTACTGTGAAACGACGTCCGGTGTATAGCCAAGATTACAGCCTACTTATTAAACACTAGCTACTCCCGCGCGGTTTCACTCGCTGCTCGGCTCCATTTGATTGTAGCGCAATGTTTTATAGCCTATAGCACTCGGGAACATTGTAGCTATCAATTAGTGAAAGAATTTTGGAAATCCGACCCGCGGTTCGCGATTACCCTCTACATACAAACTTACAAATTTTGCCTCTATAATATCAGTATAGATACATGCATTGGTATTTGTCCCGTGGGGGTAGATAGAAACCACAGAGCACCACTTAGAACGATATTTTGATTTACTTAAGGCCGATGGGTGAAAACACCCATACATAACATATACATATTTTCAAGTTCATACAATTATCGTAAAAATAGTTTCTGATTGCACTTTTATATAAGTTGCCGAACCATACAAATTTTCATATATTGTAAAGCGGGCCTTAAATGTTCCATTACGAGAAAATTATTATAATTCACATAGATTTATCCCAAGGCGAGCGAGAATTTTTTTTATATTTCTTCCATAGCAGCGTAGTTTCCAATTGTTTAGTCAAATTCAATACCTTTGCCGAAATGTAAAAAATGAACATTACTATTTATCTTGTATGAAATAGCATGTAGTGAAGTCACAACATTTATGCGTCAAATATCATTCTTATTTCTATTGAGATACACATCCTAAAAAAATATGAAATTTCTTTTTGACTGAGGTAACAAGCCAATTGCATACTTAGGACGAGAACTATCAACTTACATTATGAACCTTTTTCCAGGTGTTCGGAATGACCTTAGTGACCCTAGCGTTTGCTTGCCTGGGTTTCCTGTCGCCGGCTAACCGCGGGGCTCTGATGACATGTGCGCTGGTCGCCTGGGTACTGCTCGGAGCCGCCGCTGGTTACGTTAGCGCTAGGATCTATAAGAGCTTCGGCGGCAGGAGGTGGAAGAGCAATATTTTGTTAACCTCCATGGTGTGCCCTGGGTGAGTATGAAGTCTTATAATAAAAAAATGCCATTACTAAAATTTAAAAACATCTTGATTTTGCAATTAGTGTTTTCTTCAATCAACTTTCTTTGAAATTGTTTTTAATTTTAATGCTAGTAGCATCTCTGATAAAAATGATAATCGTTTTACACGCGTATCAGAACTTCGCACTGTAATCATTAGTGAAACTTGGTTTAATAATTTACATTTTAAAATTTGTCTTTTGGGATAACCCAAATGTTAACTTTTAACGACGATGAGGGTACGACAGTAACTTATAATTTTTTAAAGCTTTAATAATGATCTCCTGTGCTCTCCTAGTTTACATTTTCAATGTCCTTTTGTTACATTTCAGTGTGGTGTTCTCTCTGTTCTTCATAATGAACTTGGTGCTGTGGGGCAAGGGATCGTCCGCGGCCGTACCTTTCTCGACCTTAGTGGCTCTGCTCGCTCTCTGGTTCGGCGTCTCTGTACCGCTTACTTTTATCGGCGCTTACTTCGGATTTAGGAAGAGGGTAAGTTGGAAACAGATACAAATACCTAGTCTAGAGATACTTGAAAATAATTTGAAGCACTAATAAATAGAGTCCATTTTTGAACAATGATAATCACGGTAAGAATTTTTGACCAATGACGTATTATATATAGACACGTCATGAACCAACATCGCGGCGCTTAAAAACGGCGAAAATACAAGATAACTACTTCTACGACTAAAGAAAGGGAAAGCAAATATGACATCGTATAGTGGAATGCCTTTGCTAGAGGGAGATAAATATACATCTTCAGTTATGCCGACGGCACGTGACTATACCTTCATGCGCCGGCCGCCATAAGATGGAGGGCGCCGGGCGGCGTCAAAAAAATAAAATAAAAATAGGTTGTTTGGTGAACTTACGCATGAAATGACACATTTTTGTATTTAACTTTTAGAGTATAATTTGTACATCCTCTGAACACACACGACGGCATGCTTTCTTTAGTTTCGCACAGGTTTACACACACGATATAAATTATAACAAACGTAGCGTCGCGCGGGAGGTTGGTGCGTGACTAAGCGCGATGTTGTCAAATTGCCTTCATTTCATGTTGCCATTTTAGAGCGCGGACAACGTATCTATAGATTTATACATCATTGTTTTTGACTAATACTTTCTTATTACATTTTACAGATTTTAGACCACCCAGTGCGCACAAACCAGATCCCGCGACAAATTCCCGAGCAGTCGCTATACACACAACCCGTTCCCGGCATCGTGATGGGTGGTGTACTGCCATTTGGATGCATCTTCATTCAGCTGTTCTTTATTCTCAACTCGCTTTGGTCTAGCCAGGTGCGTATTGCTTGCTCCTATAACATTATTCCATGAAGTGTCCACTACCCTTAGTTGTCCAAAACTGAAGAGAGTGATTTTGTTTACAGATGTACTACATGTTCGGTTTTCTGTTCCTGGTGTTCGTGATCCTGGTGATCACGTGTTCGGAGACGACGATCCTGCTGTGCTACTTCCACCTGTGCGCGGAGGACTACCACTGGTGGTGGCGCGCCTTCCTCAGCTCGGGCTCGACGGCCGGCTACCTCTTCATCTACTGCTGCCACTATTTCGTCACCAAGCTCAATATAGAGGACGCAGCCTCCACCTTCCTGTACTTCGGTTACACCCTCATCATGGTCTTCTTATTTTTCCTGCTCACCGGCACCATCGGATTCATGGCCTGCTTCTGGTTTGTCAGAAAAATCTACAGTGTCGTCAAAGTCGATTAATTTACGCGGCGTTAGGTTAAGTATCGGGTGTTGGTACAGCGGTATTGACGAGTCCGTCGTGGGCGCCTATGTTATGTATAAAAACCGAGTTGTTAGCGTTGTTTTTCAGAAAAATGCGCTATTTGTTGCGTGAGAACCTTCCGCCTAGTCCATTTGTTTATGAAATGTCTTGAGTATTGATTGCCTGGTGGTCTAATAGTGACATTGAGATCAATACTAGGGATTTTAATCAACAATAATAATATCGAATCACGGACATGACTAGTATTGCAATGGATGAGATGAGCCACGTGCCAACACAGGCTGACATCCTAGCCGGCCGGTGTGGCAGTGTGACAAGTGAGACTGCTGTACACATTGTGATTAATTGTATAAAAATTTATAATGCTAATATAATAAATTGATAGTCTCCTGTGCGTCTTTTAATGGTTTGTTTATTATTTAGATTTAATTTGAATGTTAGGCTGTATACATATTGATTGAAATCTCTGCACTATATTGCTACTAGTTTACTTTTAGTATGTGAGAATATTATCAATGTGTATGCGCCTTTAGTCGCTAGCTGTATTTTTTCTGTGAATGAAAATTTAAGCTTACATTTTTTTATTTATTGTTTGAACATCAGCTAATATTTACAACCTTGCACAAGAAAACAATTAGTAAAGCCGTGGATTATCTCCAATTAAAACAATTGACTAATATAGTACTTAATTGTGCCCTAAACAATATCAAGGAATACTAAAATAATGTGATTTTCGAGTAAGGCATTCGATGATATTTTAAACATGTATATTGCAATTAAAACATAAGTGAGATTTAAGCATTTTAATAAAATTATTAGGGATAATGAATACTTCAGAACGATTTCGTTTCCTATGTTTTTCCTGTTATCGTGTGGATGTGGATTGATTGGAGCATGCGGTGCCCATATCTAATTAAAACAATAAAGTAGTCATCAATTTTCGTGTTGAGTAATTAAAGCTGCGTTAGAATATTTTTTTGACGAAATATAGGTAGGAAAGTTGTATAGGTATTTGGTGGTTATGTATTATTTTTTAAATTAAAGATATCATGAGACGTTATTACTCTATACCTAAATCCATACGATGACACTTAGATTATGATTTTAGTACCCATTGTTTAAAAATACATACATATAACATATGCATACTATGCAATTTAATTTAATTGTAATTTTATTTTATCATTACTTTAAAATTATGCTTAGTTTAAACAGTTGAATGTAAATAAAAAAAACTATTTTAAAAACGCCTTTAATTTTATTATTGCATAAATTAAATATAAAAAAGATAAATTAATCACTATCACTTTCAGAAAGTTCAGCCTTCTCTTTTGGTTGCAAAGCTTTGCGTTTAAATTGTTTCCGTTTCTGATCAAGTTTAGTTTTACGGAATATTTCAATTGCCTTCAGTTTGTTTTCTAATAGAGTCCTTTTATATTTCTCCCTTTGTGGGATTACTTCCTGGTAACGATCTGTTTTTGGTATTTTAATTTCGAACTCCGATTTACCATCTTTGATTTGTGTTACAACTTTTACACCTTGATTTAAAAGTACAGTTTCTTCGCTATTTTTGCGCTGTTTCGCGGCTGACGGGCCTGCTTTATTTTTATTGCTGGGAGCATCTTTTTTCGTAACTTTTCTTTTAGGTGCTGGTTTATCAATTTCGGCAGGCTTTTCAGTTTCTAATACGAGTGGTCCCTCCGGACCCATTTTTTGTACTGCTGCTTTAACCCTTTTACTCATTTGCTCTTCCAATGACTGGAATTCTACTTTTCGCTTGAAAAAGTCCTGCACAGATCTTTGCGTTTTACGATCTTGCATCCGTTTTAAAACTGGCCTGATTATTTCGTCTAATTTATTTTGAGACCAACCAAACTTAGCTTTTGTATAATCTCGCAATATTGTGATGTCTAATTCACCCCATGTGAATTTGTCTTTACTTTTCTCTATGTTAGGTTCCAAGTAAGCTTGAACCACCTTAAAAATACAATGTAGACAATTAACAATACAAATTTTGATCAGAAATTATGAAGTAAATTAAAAAATAAACTTACCCGCACACTAGGAAATTCTTCAGTAAGAGCAACATTTTTGAGCTTTTTCTTCAAACTTGTGTTATCAGTCCTCTTGCCTGCCCTGACCCACTGCTTGAATTCTTGTAATCCCTTCACCATTTGAGCATAACGAGCTTGCTTTGACTCCTCACTAAATAATTGCCTTTTATTGAATGGGAATGATGCTAGAATCTCTAGGGCAGTAACAGGGCCCACACCAGACACTCCTGTTGTGTAATCACTACCCACAAGCAGTGCTAACAGAATTAGTTGTTCCCTATTTAAATCTGAAAATTTTAAACTGTTGTTATGGTATGGATTTCTTGTTATTTCGAATCTTAAAAAAAGACTTTTAAAACTTTTAAATTGAAAATAAAAAAATGTGTACTCACTAAAAGATTTTTCGATCCTCTCTGCTAAAAACTGCAAAACATGCTTCTTTTGATTAAAGAAATTCTTATAAACTGTTCTACCTCCAAATAACCAGATGTCACTGTCATCTGTTATTGTTCCATCTGTAAGATTCACACTTTCTAGGAAAGCACATTGTGCCTCTGCCTCCATCGGAGCGACGATATAAGGAATGCCGAATATCTGAAGTAGTTCTTGAGCTTCCTTCGTCATTTGTTCAGTAATATTTCGCCCTATACGATCTAATCGTCCCTTCTCTTGCATTAAATCTTGTTCTTCATTTTGTATATCTTCAACCATGGAAGTTAGTTGTTCTGTAGTTAAAGTTTGTTTAGGTGGATTACTTGTTTTTATGAGTTGGGTATGTGTTTCCGGCGCTACAATTAAATCTGTAGTTTCACTTGATTTGCTAGGTACAACATTTTCTTGAATTGCAGTATCATCTGCCTTATCTACATTTGGTTTTGCAGGACTTTTTCCATCAATATCTGGGTTTAAAATTGTAGGTGGAGTCATTTTATAACTAGTTTTAAGTACAGGAACTTCAGGCACTTTAAATACCTTATCTACTAAACCACTTATAGGTGTTAACACCTCATTATTAGCCCTTGTTTCTTTTATTGTTTCGTTTTTATCTCCAGCAGAATTATCTGCTTTTTTAAAGACCTCAGCAAATTCAGCCTTTGTTTCTTTTATTGCTTCGTTTTTATCTCCAGAAGAATGATCTGCTTTTTCGAAGATATCTGCAAATATGTCATCATCAGGTGCATTGCCCATATTTAAAGTAAGTTCTACAACAGGTTTTTTAACTTCAGTATTTTCTTCAGGTACTTCTTCAAAATCACTATCACTAGATTCACTTTCAGACTTATTTTTATTAGTTGAGACTTCTTCCATTTCATCACTGGATGTACTCTCATGTTTTATGTTTTCTGATGGTAAAGCACTTTTGATACTTTCAATTTCTTCTACGCTAGAATCAAGATCTATGACTTCTTGCACTGGATTGCCAACACAAATTACTGATGCTTGAGTGGAATCTAAACATTTATCTGTTTCCCGGTCTGAAGATGAACTACACTCTGTAGTGGCAGAGGTTTTATTATTTTCTTCACCACTACTTACTAACACAGCACCTTCATCATCTTCATCGCCAGATGATAGTTCCACTTTATCAACAATTACTGACTTTTCATTGTTAATTTCATCTAATATCTCATCTACTTTGGGTACTTTTTTATTATTTTTGCCTTTATTCCTATTAGTAACAATTTTATCAATGGCTTGGTGTGTGAAATCACTATATTGCATGATATAAGCTTTAGCACTTGACATATCTGGTTGTTCACAACCATCGCCTTCTTCTGAATCAGTATCAGAATAATCTGTATCTGTCATGCAGGAAGTCCAAGAGTCATCTGTTTTAGAAACTATACTTGTATCTTGATTTGGTTGGCTGCTACTTGGGTCATCAACACACTCTAAGGACATTTGAATTGCTCTCTGTAAATCATCTTCTAATTCATCAACTTTTTTTGGCTTTTCATCATTAGGCTCTGTTATTTCTGTATCTTTACTTGTAGTTGCTTTAGCGTTATCATTTATTTGACTTATTTCTTCAATTTTACTGGTTGTTGGGTTGTTTTCAGCCTGATTTCTTTGCTTTGCTGCTGCTAAAGCTTTTTTGACATCTCTGATAAGTAAAAATCGTGTAGAAACATTAGAGGCAATGCGCCTTGTAGGAAGTGTGTCTATTTTAGTATCAATGCCTTCTTCATTTAGCAAAGACTCTAAATCATTTAAAGACATGCCTGTATCACCCATTTCCTTTTCAGTCTCCTCAAGACATTCTTGTACCTTTCTTCTCTTTAATAGCCTTTGCATCTGTGGAAATAAAATAAAATAATTATAAATAGACTACATAGAACTTTTATAAATTTACTAATATTATCAGTTATAAAAAAGAGATAAATCACCTGAAAATCTGAAAATGAGTTACTTTCCTTAGGTAACTCATGTAGTCTTCCCCATGAATTCATTTTCCTTGTTTCCTTAAGTTCTATAAGTACATCATACTTTTCTTTGACTCCCAAATTTTTAAAAGTTTCTGATTGTATATCTATTGAATGTACATCAATACTGGAGCCACTTGAATTTTGTTCATCTTCAGATCTGAAAGGTGAATAAGATTCAAATAAATTAATTTTATCTTATTATATTTACAATATAGACAATAAATTTAAATTCAAAGTTTTAATAAGTAGGTATTTGGTGTCTATTTAATCAGAACTCCAACTTCAGCATGGAATTATTAACAACAGAAGGCAGTGGCACGCTGGACAGATACTGCAAAGATAACATCAAAATCTGCTCTAAGAAAGAAAAATTTGCCAGTGAGTATGGGCAGTAGGCAGCAGTTTCTCAACATAACTAATCACTAGAACTCACTCAGATTCACTTTCATCTTCCTTTTGTGGTAGTGCTGGTAGTTTGAAAATGTCATCCTTGTCTATAGATGTTTGTCCACTTTTTGGTGGTGTTATCTCTTTGCCTAGTATACTGCTCACTGCTGTCTTCTTACTCAATAATAATGCAAGCTCTCTTTTAATTCTTTCAGATTCTGAATTATATTTCGCTTTACTGTCTTGCCGCTTAGCCTAAAAATTTTCAATAGTATATAGCAGAGTACAAAAACAGGTAGTTTTTAAAAATAAATCACACGTCAAATTAAGACTTACAATAGTTTCCTTTTTCAATTCAGGAAAAGCTCCATCAAATACAAAGACTGGTTTAATTCTAAAGTATAACAGTTTGCAGAGGCGTTGAAAAAGTCCCATAAGATGTGCATTTGGTAAAGGAGCCCCCTTTGCATCTTGATATCCTTTCACCATCTGGTGCAACCATATTGATATGTCTGATAAAAACAAACAAGTCAATACATGTTTGATAAGCATACTAAAATTTGCTATTGCACTACTTAATAACTTTTAGCAATAGCTTATTTGATTGGCACTAGGTAACCATCTTACCAACTGCCAGCACTTTGTTTTCCAAAGTCTCGACGGGCACGGGTTTGCCGGCTGGCTCTATTAGCCTCCACAGTCCAGTGACTCCCATCGCGTGCGATTAAATTCCAGAATAGATTTTTTGTTTATACTAATGTATATATCAGTGTACATAACAAAGGTCGTTTCCCACGAGATCTCCGGTCAATCGTCGGTCTCTTCCTCACACATCGCAACTATTTCGCTCCATGAGCTCAATGTACGCGCTACAGCTACGCACACATCCACAAAACGAAGCGATTGCTACTGGTGCACTGCGTTCGTAAATATGTGTTCGGTTCACTACAACATATCAAATGTTTTACTACGCCGCGAACGCCCACTCTTTCCCACACTTTATTTTCTCACGCCCCATGCGTAACCCCACATCCTATGACCGGCCGACTGTCAGTCGCGCGTCGCGGGTCGACCGATCCCTCATCGACTCGACTCGATTCTGTCGATTCGCGCGCGTGTAGTTGACAACACGCCTGCAAACAGCTCCGTGTCTATGGTCAATCTTTGACAGCTCGCGCATCTGGCGTTGTCGTATTTATACTCGAATAAACAGAAGTTTCGTCAACTTTTCATAAAATAAAATCATAAATCGAAAACTACTGGGTTGAGGACGAGGACCAGCGTCCCCCAGTCGCGAGTGACGTTCGAGGTAACGGCACCCTATCCCGTCCGAAAATACCATCATCGAACAGGTGTCTCGAACGAAATGTGTGCCAGTTCCCAGCGTAATTAACTGACGAGGGGCGTGAATAATACAAAAGTGTATCGATCGCGGAGATAATCGGTCCCGGGGGCTACGGCGTCTCTGCTAAATCTACTCGGTAGGCGCTCGCCCTCCAGTCAAGAACCAGGTAGGACGCTCCAACCGTGTACAGAACTGCCGGCGATGTTCCACCGGAGAAGTGCCTCTAACTAGGAAAACAAGAGCATCACACTGCGCGACCCTCAGTCGGGTGCGCGCTATGCGGGCGGCAGCAAGGTGAAGGCAGCCGTGGCGAGCATGCCGCACCAGTTCGGCGGGGCGGGCGCGGGCGCGGGTGCGCTGGCCGGCGGCGCCTCGCCGCCTGCGCAGCACGCGGCGCTATTCCCGCGCTATGGCGGCGCAGCAGGACCTGGCGCCGGTGCCTACCGTCCAGAAGAACGTCGTCTTACTCGTGAAGCCATGGAGCGCTATCTACGCGATCGCTCTGACATGGTCGTAGTCATTCTACACGCGAAGGTGGCTCAGAAATCTTATGGAAATGAAAAAAGATTCTTCTGTCCGCCACCATGTATCTATCTATTTGGAGATGGTTGGCGACTTCGGCGCGAGCGCATGCTTCGAGAGGGAGAGACTGAGCAGGCAGCACAGCTGTGTGCATTTATTGGTATTGGTAACTCAGACCAGGACATGCAGCAGCTAGACCTCAACAATGGCAAGCAGTATTGTGCCGCTAAGACTCTGTACATATCTGACTCTGATAAAAGAAAGCATTTTATGCTGTCAGTGAAGATGTTCTATGGTAATGGGCATGACATTGGTATTTTCAATAGTAAGAGGATAAAAGTGATATCAAAGCCTTCAAAAAAGAAGCAATCACTAAAGAATGCAGATTTGTGTATTGCAAGTGGAACAAAGGTAGCTCTGTTTAATAGGTTGAGGTCACAGACTGTATCAACACGGTACCTGCATGTGGAGAATGGTAACTTCCATGCATCCTCCACACAGTGGGGAGCATTCACAATACACCTGCTGGATGACAATGAGAGTGAATCTGAAGAGTTTGCTGTGAGAGATGGATATGTTCACTACGGTTCAACAGTGAAACTAGTATGCTCTGTTACAGGCATGGCTCTACCCAGATTAATAATTAGAAAGGTAAAGTCACAGTTTCTGAAAATCTAATAATATCTTTACTAAATTTTTACCATTCAATATTACACTAAAATTTCAAAATAAAGTTTTATAACCAACCAAATAAGTTTTCAATAATGACACTAATTATTAGCATAGTAATGTTAATTTGATTAGAGCCAATTTTTCGATTTTATTATATTTTTTGTCAGTTGTTGTTTTCGCGTACCACAGTAATCTTTGCTGCATGCTTCATTTCCATAGTAGGTAGTGTTTGTTTATTGTTATCATCAATAACATTTATTGTACAAACCTTAAAAAAAGTATTACCATAAAATATTTCATATTTTATAAACAACGAATCATGATGATGTAATACAACACTAAAATGATAATACTCAAAAATCACTCTTTACAAATTAATCATATTGTTATATTGATAAAAGATAATGCTAGTATGGACCTTGATCTTAAATGTGAATATTTTTTAATATCAGTACCTACATATAATTAGAAGAAAATTTTATTTGTGCAACCTAGATCTAAATAATAGTAAAAAAATGAGTTAGTTTCTATTATGTCTCATAGGGCAAAATTCAACAGAACTTTTATTAAATAAATAAAAATCTTCCTATAACAAATAGATGCAACTTTTTCTGTAATGTATCTAGTTTAAAAAGTTTTTAATCTAACAGGTGGACAAGCAAATGGCCTTATTAGAAGCTGATGATCCAGTATCCCAACTTCACAAGTGTGCATTTTACATGAAGGATACGGAACGCATGTATTTGTGCCTATCACAAGAGAGAATAATACAATTTCAAGCCACACCATGTCCGAAGGAACCTAATAAGGAGATGATCAATGATGGAGCTTGTTGGACTATTATATCTACTGATAAAGCCGAATACCAATTTTATGAAGGCATGGGACCTGTAAGGTATGTGCAATACATTATTACAATAATTGTATGGCAAAAGTAGGAAAAAGATTTTTTTAAGCATTATACATACAAAATTTTTATTTAAATAATTTATTTTATTTAAATATATACTCACATGCATGCAATGCAAAAGCTCTACCTGTTTCAAGTTGCAACTCATGAAAAAATTATTACAACACCTTTGTCTGTTTAATATATATATATATATATCTATAATCTTACTCTGCAGAAAATTTCAATCTAATATCAAAAAGCAACAAAAATCCGTATTTCAAAATTCTTTTTTTCTATATTTCTGGGATTTTCAGAATATAATGTTATAGGATTTATGTAAAACTAATCAAAAGATGAGAGGATACAGTAGAACAATAAAATAAAATATTTGAATTTAGAATTATAATATGAATTGTAAAAATTATCAAACTGCTGGTTGTGTCAAAATATTTCATGATTTTTTATGGTAATGGTACCTAAAGATATCCTTAACCACAAAAATGATAACCACTTATTTAGATATGTTAGGGACCACGTAATTGGTTCACTTCCCGTGTTTGGTACTATGTCATATTATTATATTTTTATATATTTTTTCCCAGTTCCTGGCAGAAAAAAGTAATTAGCCTCAAAGTAAAAAGGTTTTATATATATTTACAAAAGGCTAAATAAAAGTTCAATGTTTCTATTTTTTATCTATGACAATAGAGATAACTAATAGCTCTTTGATTAACGAATAACTACAAATATATTTATCTAACAGTAATATTGGTCTCCTTTTTCGTATGAAAAGAATAGAACCATCCAGGGTTTCTTTATCGCTATGCAACGTTTGAATGCCACCTACGATACGACGTAAAACTTCACCACCAACCGACGGCATTAGTACTTATTAGACATTACAGATATATATGTATATGTGTATGATAGAGTTTACATCTGATACCTACCAAATAACCAAAGAAAACATTGAAATTTAGATGCTCTAGAAACATCTTCCCCAAACATAATATATTGTATGTACAGTACAGTACAGTACAGTATGTTGTGAAAACCTGTTCTAAATTAGGTACCAAATAGCAACATTGGTCGTAGCAATATTTATAGCATCATATATGAAAGAAAACATAGTGAAAATTCGCACGCTCATCATAACACGTAATGTATAGTCTGGGAACTAAGTACCAGCTGTCACGCTAAACATAAGCGATTGGTCTGACGTAGCTGACTAACGGGCTAAGTGTAGCGACAAATATTTTGAACCTAACATAACGTTACGGCTGTTGTCTCAAGGGGAGATCAGAGATGTGACTACCTAAAGTACTCAAAGTGTAATCCACATTCACACTAGATTCACGTACATAACATAATAGGACACATGCTTACAGGTCGTAATATCGTATCATTTTAAAGAGAAAACTTAATAACAATATTTTAATCAAATAAAAAATAGAATATAAATTAATCTTCTAACATTACACTTGCTACTACAAAGTAATCCAATCCATAATTTTCTTTAAAAAATTTGACAAGACAGTAAATATGCTTGGTAAATAGATCGATGAACACAAGTCGACAACAAGAAAATGAACGTTTGCAAAACAAATAGTTTTCGAAGTCGAATACGCGGTTTAACATATTCCAATGGGACTAAATTAAATTATCATTATAAAAACTCAAAATAAGTAACTCAATGCTATGCAAACTGATGTAGAGATCACCCCTAACCAAATTTCGCCACCCCTATGTTTTCATCGCACCCTATCTAAATTGCTCTCGAAAAACATATTGATGTGTTTTAGTAATGGCTACATTGTACCCTTGTGCCGATTTAATATCGCTCCGAGACCTCAGATTTAGCTGATTGATTTTATTAGTCGCGTCTAGGGGACCTCTGACACAGTTTTTGTTGATAGCCGAAGTATTTTTTTATTAACGCTTTTAAACGAACTCAGGACCATTTCGACGAATATTACGCCTTTTGCGACTGTAGGTAACCAAAAAAATGTTTTGATCAAAAGTGGTAGCTTTTGGATAAACTTAAAAGGAAACTAAGGATTTTTTATACTTCTTCATCTGTGTTCCCCTAAGGTTTTACGTTTAATAACTAAGTAGGTTCGTGTTCGGACGTTCGAACGTTATTTACCAAAAGTTTTAAGCAAAAAACAGAAAAACTTACAAATCTCTAAAACAAATGTATTCAGTTGCTATCTATACTAATATTGTAAAGCTGAAGAGTTTGTATGTTTGAACTAATGGTTCAATTTGAACAATTCTTTTTTGTTTATTAGTCCATTATATAGGCTATAAAACATCAATTATTAAACTACGATTTGTAGGAACAGAGCAGCGGGTGAAACCGCGCGAGAGTAGCTAGTAATAATACCTATAATATGACAAATGCTATTCACTATTCAGTTATAACAACGCAAATATTTTTATCCAGGTCTCCTGTAACTCCGGTGCCGCTAGTCCACTCGCTAAATCTCAATGGTGGCGGTGACGTGGCGATGCTAGAGTTGGCTGGTGATAACTTCACACCGTCACTGCAAGTGTGGTTCGGTGACGTGGAGGCTGAGACGATGTACCGCTGTGCAGAGTCCATGTTATGTGTCGTCCCTGACATCTCACAGTTCAGGGGACAATGGCTCTGGGTGCGACAGCCGACACAGGTAACTTCATTTTAAGGAACTTGATTTTGTTTACGATTTTTCGCCCAAAATTTATGTTTTTGCAGTTTTTCAATGTATTCGGATATTCGTGTCTGTTTTAAGCTTTTATTTAGATTTGCTCAATTATTGAAGTACTTCCTATAACTAGTATTATTCCTATTTCATTATTATTCGGTTCGGAACTTTCGTTTACGTTAGAGCGTTATGAAGTTGCGAATCAGGAACGTAAACTAAAATTTTTGCCAACCTCCCGTTCACGAAGGCTAACCTTTGTGTCCTTTACATTTGAAAAAAATGTATACTTATATCTTGTATAACGTACAATTTAACGGGTCCCTATTCACATAATCTCCGTTGTCAGGAAGTGAGCGTCGCGATCACACCATTTAATAGTTGGATACTTTAAATAAATTCTGTCGTGAGAACTCTGCCGACTGCATTTTCAAAATATAACTGTTATGATATTATGTCGCCTAATGGACGCACCTGTGTCTACACAGTGATTTGAAAACAATCGTCACAATATACAAACAATAACAAAGTTATTAATACGTACAATTAGACGTAACGACGATTGTTCTAAGTCTATTAAGCTAGAACATCTGGTGGGCTGCATGTGGCTAGCTATTCTATATTTATATTGAGACTGAAGAGATTGTTTGTTTTATCGCTAATCTGTAGACTGGCTTGAGACTATAATAGATTTTATTTTTTGTTTAAAATGATAACATTTAAATAGTTTAATGTTATCAAATATAATATGCTAGAAATTTTGAAGATAGAGTAGAAATTTAACATTTTAGGTAACTGACAATTGAACATCAGGCTGTTTTCCCCGTATTTATTGAAAACTACCCGTTCACACTTCGATTGGGCCTACCAACTAGCATGGTGTAGAAAAGGGATTTTCTGATTTTCTCCTTTTTAATTTTCTTTCATAAGAAACTTCTATTTTCTTTGTGTTTGCTGTACATTAGCAAAAAAAAGGAATCTTAGAAACACATTTAGCGATTTATTTATGCATAGTCAGTGTGCATGTAAGTCGTTATTTTCCATAAATTTGGTATGTCTCAAGATAGTTAATACACATAAGTGAGGCAGATTATATTCCTAATTCTTTTAAGACATACAATCTCATCATAAAAGGACACAATCCTTCAGTTTCAACGAAGTGATACAAGTAATAGATACTTTTTCTTTATTCTTTATAAGGCATAATGTTGTCACACAAGGATTTTATCCTGGGTCGTGGGTGCTTTTACAAACATACAATTTCACATACACATCACACCTAGACCCGGAACAGCAATTTTGTGGATCACACAAGGAGTTGTTCCGTAAGGGAATCGAACCCGCGACACGTTGCGGGGCAGCCACTGCGCAAACAGTGCAGTCAAGTAATTAAATAGTCTAACTTCAATATCAATCAACCGACTCGCTATCAATTCAAACTGGATTCGTAATATTAATAAGTTTAAACGCTTCATGTGAATTTTCATGCAACATTCTATTAATAGGAATTCCAGTTTGTAACATTTTATTTCTTGGAATCGCAACCCTCTAGTAGATCGATGTAATAACACGGTCTGTCTTTGACGGGAGCTTGCATAATTTATGTGTCATTGGAAACAAATGGCTTTGTACTTTAGTAGACTGATATATAAGTAGTTAGAGAGGATCGTACTAGAAGTTACCACAAGCTATGCCCAGCTCCTTTTGATCATAGCCTACTAGTTTCCGCCCGCTTCGACCCGAGCCTTGTTCGATACATGGACTATCCAACTCAAAAATAAGTTTTAAATAAGAAGCAGTACTCAATGAGTCAAAACAAACTCTTTAATTTTATAATATTTATAGATTAGATAATATTTAAATGTCTCTACGTCATTGATTACAGATTTCTTTACGTAACTCATGACTTGAATAATGTATTGGTCAAATAAATGTATATCACAAAGCTTTCTTCTTTAATACACTGAAAGATTTCTACGCGTCATAATATATAGTTCTTCTTACTTCAAAACCAATGGCCATATCGTTAGCTGTAGAACTAAGGGTTTTTAGGGGTTTTTGAATATGTATTTGCATATGTATTTGCTGATCGTGATATATCTATAGATGTGTACTTATATGCGACTGATTGATGTATACATTTACATTACAATGACATTTCTCAGCCCTCGCCAGTATCGCAATGAGAACCAAATACATAATGCAATTGAATAGTTTTCTCCTCCGCTTCAGGTACCGGTGTCGCTGGTGAGGAACGACGGCATAATATACGCGACGGGGCTGACGTTCACGTACACGCCGGAGCCGGGCCCGCGGCCCGTGTGCGCGCCCGTGGACGACGTGATGCGGCCCGACACGGCGCCCGGCTGGCACCACGACCACGCCGCGCACCGCCTGCCCGACAACACGCTGCAATAGCCCATGGACTGCAGGCTGGACGACGACAGCCTGCAGTTATAAACTCTCTCAGTGGCAACTCTAAAACTGTGTTATGTGACTCCAAAGAACCAAGCCGTCTCCTACAACGTACTAGTGACTTTCACACGAAAGACATTTGGTGAGTGATTCAAAGACAATCCCTATTGTATAATTTCGATAGTGCCTAATGTCTATTCATCATAGCATGATCTCTGGCGGGGTATGCTGCACACTGAATGGACGGGTAATATTTTTGAAAATTGTATTTTAAGACGTTCAAATGAAATGTATGCTGTTAGAAATGGCGTAAATATATTATTCGCGCAAGCATGTTGCGTCAGTGACACGACCTGCTTATTGAGGCGGTGTCTCCAGGAGGGGGAATGTACAATAGAAATTATGTGGCTCATTAGATTGTGCAATATTTAACGATTTACTTTTGCGACTGAATCCATGATGACAGATACGCACGTGGATATACGTACACTTGTACAGATCTCCCTTGTGGAGATGTGGGCCTGATGTTGTGTATCAGGACTCTTTGAGAGCTAAGTTTAACAGATCATGTTACGGTCTATAGAATGTAGAAAGCTTTATTATTAATGAAAGTGCCACTTCGCGAGGCGATCGCTTTGCTTAAGAGCTTAGACCGCGAGGCGCCGTACTATGTCAACACGAACGACGTGTGCCTAAATATATCGTAAAATTATATGTTTGTATATCTACGAGATTATTACACCAAAACTATGATTAAGGATAAAAATCAGCAATAAAAAGCAAGTTGTGACAAGAATAAATTAAATAGAAGAATTTGTGATAAATACTGAGTAGGCTCTACTGTGTTTTATGAGGTGACTATTTGATTGGCTGCAGCTATGGAAATTATTTTTATGTTAATTTTAAGGATGTATTAGAAAGAGTTACAAACTGGTGTTGAACTAATAGACAAGTAGAGCTGTACGTTGAATATGTAATCAATTTCGCTGTTATTTCAATTATTCCTGTTGTCACACGGTTGGCGGGTTGAAACCGGGCCAATAATTCTTGTTACAAAATCAATAACTGTGATGTTACCTGCGATAGTTTTATGTTCATAATGTCACTGGTTAACTCATATTCAGTTCAATTTACTAATAGAACTGAAAATCCCCTCAAGCTACACGCTGTGCGTGATAAAAAAAGAGGAGAGTTTTTTGAAATTAAAGTAGTGTAAAATCTTACATAATTTGCGTAAGTATGTAAAATAAAATTGTTAGAATATTTTTTTTCTATCACATCAATACTCGGGGTTGTTGACCCTATTTCAACCTGCTAACTATATTATACACTACAAAATGTATAGACTATTTTACTACCTTCTTAATTCCTAGTCCTAATAATGATTTCACAATTCTTACAAATTTTATTCGCCATTAAAAGCGCTTTTGAAATGCACAATTAGTTTTAAATTACTCGCAATAATGCCAATAGAGCTGATCAAAACATTGTTTGTAAAATGTTCTGATAGTTATACAGGGAGGTAGTTCCTACTCTGGCATTTAATATACACCAATATTAATAGTTCGTTCATTGTCATCGTCATTAAAAGAGATCTCTCTGCTCTTAGATTTGTTTCTTTGGGGCCAAATAGTTGTAATATCCATGACAAGTCATTGCGTTTATACTATAATACTATTCTAACTTTATATAAGTTTACGTTTCTTTGGGTAAAGGAAAACGAACTCTACGAGATTTATTTTAAGAGTGATTTTAATGTAATTGGTTTGTATAAATTAAGTAGATATCCTAGATGATTAGTTAGTTACAAATTGAGTTAGAAAAGAGCCAAATAAGTCCTTTTATCTCAGAATACTTGGTGAAGTATTTGTTTCTTTACATTGCTTTAGTTGTTTACGTACCGACTATGTTTGCTTCTGTGCCCGCAAGTCAATCGGTCTCAATGTGTATGCACAATTTATCTAATCAACAACACTTGGTTGACGATTATAATAAAATCCATTAAAGACACGTAGTGTGTCGTTGTACGTATGTATATTTACGGAGATTTTAAACGAACAATACCTACATGTAGTTTAGTAGCTAGCGTTAGTCCATAGCACTGTATGAGCTCTGCACATCGGACGTGATGCGACGCGAGTCGTACGATTTGTACGCGGACACAGATTATTTTATTGCTTGTTGTGTAAAACACGTCGCACTCACGATTATTTCGTACATCGCGCCCGATGTGCAGACCTCTCAATAATTAAATGATAAAAAACTGAAATTATAAATTTAAAAAATTATATTTATTTTATGCCAATATAATTTCTTGAAATGAGAAATGTATTGATTTTTGAAAAAGGATTTGATGTGTATTTTTAATAAAAACGTGTGATTTCGAACATTCCATGTGGAAAGTGTAATAAGAAGTACAAAAAATATCAATATTTTTGTAGCGAAACATTGAATTACGATATAATCTTATGGAATTGGTAAAGTTACAGTATTACAAGGAAATTAGTATTAAACACGATGAATAGACAGTAATAATGTCGTCAATTTTGTAAAGCGATAAGTAAATGATTTGTCATTTAAAAAAACTGTTTACTCCTTTTTATCATTTTACATTTGGTATTTCTATATTTGGAAATTGTCATATTTAAGTGTAACTGCTCGAGTACGACATTGCGAGCCGGCTGTACAAACTGTACAAAGCGTGTACAATAAATGATACAAGGAGCAGTGATTCTGAAATATGAATAAATATTTTTTAATAAAAACTGAATTTAATTAACGCAGTTTTTTCATTAACTCCACCCTACATGATTAAGATTCAAAAGTAACAATCTAGAATAATTAAAATACATTTCTCACAGTCCAACTGTTTTGCGCAAAGCGGATCTCATTGGTTTATTTCTCATTGTTTTAATTATAAACGAGGGGTCAAGTGTAATTATCTGCTTATGAATCAGTGTTAATCGAGGAATCAGTGCCTCGGCCGAAGTCTGTGGGAACGTCTTCAAAAACTCTTCACATGATAATAACAAGTGTCTTCCCCTACATACCGTTCCGCAACGCTGGGTTTGACCTCAGATAATTATCACAAGTTTATACCCATTCCGCCATTGTTCGTTGCCGAGATTCACGGCAATAAACTGGCTAATATTTATGACATGTGCTCGCTCTGGAAAGTTCGACTGTCACATTATAAATTGGAACATAATTGAGGCAATTGATCTCCGAACTCCGGAGTCTGAGGTCCGGTGTCATGCTGTCTGAGGTACTATGAATGCTGTCGTCACAGTGCAGCGTCATAGATTGCAATGGTGTTGATGGGAATTTAATTCTAAGTATTCATATTGTAATTACATTCATGCAATGAGTGACGCCGGTCTACGTAAGAGGTGATTAGTTACTTGATAGCATCGCATACACTTGGAAAATCGAGAAAAACTGATGACATAACCCTAATGATGGATACTGTTTGAATAATCACTGGGTTTACCCATGTCCTGTTAGCTTCCGTGTCTTAATTGCCACTGTTGTATTAATACAGACGCGAACTTATCAATTACAAGTTATCTCTTGTATCATGAGCTATTGCAGGATCTCTGTAATTCAATTATTTAATTATTGTCTTCTATGGTTAATTACTTTTATGGTTTCGTTTATTTTAATAATAATTTAACAACTTTGAATTATTAATGTATAAACATCGTAAACCTTAATGATTATATGCTGTGACATCCAATAAAAAACCCAAACCAGCATGACTATTCTGGTAAAAAATACATTATGTAGCTACCTATATAGCTAATTAGTAATGAATATAACAAGTACTAAAAAACTTGGTATTAATAACTAACACTAATAAATAAAAGTTCTGTTCATTAAAATGACTAACTACATTTTTTCGTCATAGTTAATCTTCAGCTGTAGATGATAGTAATAAGCGTTCAAAGTGTAACATTTCTTTACACCTCTGTCGTTGGCTCAGGCCACACGACTGCTTCGCGTGACTGCTAACATTATTTCCCAATCGGTGACGTGCACAAGAAATTATGACGTTATACAGCATATGCACGTAACCATTCATTCATGCAGCCGCAAAAAATGTCATTGTGTTGAAAGAAAACAAGGCTCAGACATCCTGCTCGATAATAACTAATCAAGGGAAACTACACAACAGGTTTTCCCTAATCAGAATCCTTTTTGGCCACCGTTTGAACCGGAACATCGGTTGGTCATTTACCTTCACCAATTAACCGTATGACGATTATATCTGTGCTAGCTGTGAGAAATCTGTGTGCACACAATTGAATCATTGTCTACGTTTTTACATTCTGCCAAGTTGATCTATGGTGCCGAGATATGCAGAGTGTGGGAAATGTTCAGCGGTGCACTGCTCCAATGTTTTCCAACATGTCATCTTCGGTCGTGAGAACTGTAGCCAAGCAACACGAATTTTATACTAGGTGCTCAGCAATTATGTTATTTTTTCGTTTATCTTCAATTTATTTCAAACTTGTTTTTCTCAAAACTTCTTTAAAGGACGCCCTTTAACAATCAGGACAAAAACAAGATCGTAATTATTAAAAACACAATTTTATGAAGTGGTGTTTTTTGAAGTTATTAAACTGGTAAATATTTTCTTTTGTTCTCGTAATTTTCCGTAATTTGTGGGTTTTCCGCATTGGCCATTCAGAGTTTAGTGGGTGGAGCTTTTCGTTGAACCAAAACGCCCATTGTTTTCGTACAAAAAAAACAGTTTGCTTCTGACGTGTACCTATCAAATGTCTGGCAAAGTAGATTCACCTCAGCAGACTAAACGCCGAAATTAATAAACGACCTTTATTCAAAATGTTAAGATAAATATCGCGTTCTGATATTATTTTTTCAGTTTTAGTCAAAAACTTTGATTGATCCACGTAATAACTACTACTACCGTATTAGGATTTTGGATTAACGATCGGTCAAGTATAAATTTTGGTCGTAAAGCCGCTTACTTAGTAAAAACT